GTATAGTGGTTAAGTTTGGCACACTCTGCTCCAGCAGCCCAGGTTCACAGGTTAGGCTCCTGGGTGTGAACCTACAGCAATCATCAGTCATGCTGTGGCAGCAACCCACATACAAAGTAGAGGAAGATTGGCACAGATGTTAGCTCAGGGCTAATCTTCCTCAAGCAAAAAAAAAAAAAAGAAGAAGAAGATCATTGAGTTTTGTGCAGACAGGCAGTTAACTTATGTGGAGACCAGCCTGGTCTTTGCGAGGCCTGTGTCAATGCTGTCAGGTCAGGAGTAGAAGAGCCTTCACTCTGGGGATAGCTTAGCCCGACACCTAAGACGTGGCTGTCTTTGGTCTCCATCAAATGCCCTGGTGTCCACGAGGCCTCTTCACTCTGAGTGGCTGCCATTTGAGCGCTCCTGGCCCTGTGTGGACACTGGGAGCTGCTCAGCTCACAGAGCTCCCTGGTCCGTGTTTTCAGCCTGGCTTCCTGGGATCTCTCCCTGCAGACACACAGCACAGCATTTGGCCAGAACTTGGGCTGGCCTAGGAGGACTTCTGGGGCTCCTTCTCTCCATCGCCACCTCCTCTCCAGGGCTCTGCCAGCCCCCGTCCCCTCGGCCTCCCCAAAGCCTATCTCTGTCCCCTCAGCTCAGTGGGAGCACCATGCTTGGCCTGGTTCTGCCTCTGGGAAGAAAGCCAGGCAGCTGTGGTGCCCCTCATGTGCTCCTTTCTCCCAGGAGCCACTGTCCTCGGCTGCCCATCACCCAATGTTTGAAACAGCTGCTTCCTGTAGTTTTGTTCAGTTTTCTAGTTGATTACGGTGGGAGGGGCTTCGTCACAGCCAGAAGGTCTGCAGTGTTTGAAATTCTCAAGTGGAGGCAGATACACGCATTTTTTAATAAATTCTCTACTTCTTTGGAAATCTCAACAGTCCCCAAGTATTACAAGGTGCCTGGGCTTTGGAGTCCGACAGACCCGGGTTCTCATCCTGGCTGGGCCACTCACTAGCCAAGTGACAAGCAAATTTCACCTCCTAGTTCAATGGGGGTGATGACATGGACACCTTAGGGAGTTTCTGTAAGAATTCACTAAGATGATGCACGGGGTCTGGCACTTGGGAGAAGCCTAACAGGATGAATGACCCTTTGCTGTTTGGGGTACAAGGAGGAATGACCATGTGCCTCCTGAACTGATCTTCCGGCTCAGCAAGGCCACCCTGGGAGCCCTGCTCGGCACTCCGGCCCCCACGCCACCCCCTCACCCATCTGCGGGCCCCACCCCGCCCTGGGCCACCACTCACCCAGCACAGAGGAGCCTCTGTCCTCAGGCCCACTCACAGCCACCACATCATCCGAGGTCAACGGGAGACCTCTCCCAGCTGCCCGCGGGCTGGATGGAGCGCCTGTGGGACCCTGCAGTGAGTGACAGGTCAGCCCAGTGCCAGGGCTGGAGAAGAAAAGAGGGTTGTTGTGCCCCTCCCTCCACCCCACACATTCCCTGTGGCCCCCGGGGAGGGAGGGGAGCAGGCAGCGGGCACTGCCCACTCAGCCCTGGCAGGGGAGACGGGCATGCCGTGCAGCCTCATACATCTTTGGCCCTGGGCACCTGGGATGGTCAGGCCAAAAGGTGTCCTGAGGGGCTGCTGGCCTCAGGGCTCTGGGCTGTGGCTCCACTGGCTGAGCAAAAGTTTGGAGGACTTGAAACGAGACCCCCAGGAACACAGGATGCCCTCAAGCCGCAGGAGAGGGGCGCCTGCAGATAATGAGTGTGGACTTCTTCATAGGAAATCCTGATAGCTGTGGGGTTGGGTGGTCCACATCCTCTCCCCTGCTGGGAACCCTAGAGGGAAGACCCCTCATGTAGCGAGTTCAGGCCAGGCCAGGCACAAGGCTGAGCCAGTCCTACCTTCCAAAGGTGAACGCCAGTGTGCAGGGTCTAAGCCCGGGACCACGGCGTGAGAAGCTAAGGCCGCCTGCAGCCTCGCACCACAGCCTGGGCCAGGGAGCCCAGTGATGGGATGGTGGTGGCACCTCCAAGACTAGTGCGGGAGAAGGAGGGAGAGGACCCAGGCGGCCACGAGGCAGCCACTCTTCCAGACCCCTGCCTTTCCACTCTCGAGGCTGAAAATCTGCCCAGTGGCTGGGGAGCCCGGAGACGTGCTGTGCACCTCAGCCCTCTTCTTGGCAGAGCTCGGTGAGACCAGCACAGAGCCGCCCAGGCCCTCGGGAGAGGGCGTGCAGGTGACCATTGTCTGCAGAGCATCCCGTCCCTGCCGGTGGGCGGGTGGCCCAGCAGGAAGAGAGGAACACAGGAAACAGAGGAGCAGGTCCATAGGCAGAGGGCTCTGAAGATGAAGGAGCCCAGGAGCGGGCTGCGTCAGCTTCCGGGGCCACAGCAAAGGACTACAAACCAGGGGCTTAACGCGATGGAAATGTACTTCTGAAAGTTCTGGAGGCCCTGCAGAGGATGCTCCTGGGCTTTCCTAAGATGAGAGCGTCTAGCTCCCAGCGGGGTCACAGCCAGCCTGGAGGCCCGAGGAAGGTAAGGAGGGGCCTGGTGCCATCCTAAAGGGACACTGTGTCTGTGTTGACCCGGCCCTGTGTGCCCCTGGTCCCGGCCCCAGGATGCAGAGAGGCCCACAGGCTCGCTCTTGCTGGCAGGCAGGCGAGAAGAGGACCGTGGGCTGGCCCCCGGGTCCTTCCCGCCATGCCCGCCCAGCGCTTATGACTCTGGAGCTGTTTCCTTCCAGCCACGACCCCGGAGCGCCAACTTTGGGTCCCCTCGCGTTTCATCATCAAACCCTCAGTTTACAGCTGAGACAACAGAAGCCTAGAGAGGCCAAGCCACTTGCTCCGGGTCACCCGTTCCCAACCACACAACGAACCAGCTGGAAAAGGAGAGATGGCCCCTCAAAGACTCCCAGTTTGCAGGCAGAGCCAGACTCAGCGTGCTGGCAGGGCCGAAATAGGCGCTGGACAGCTGGGCCAGGCAGGGTGGGGATTAACCAAGCTGGGTTCTGACGGAGGGTTTTACAGGAAAGCATCCAGTGGAAGCTGGGAAGCCCCTGGGCCTCAGTCTCCCCACGGAGCTGCCAAGGTGCCCCAGAACGCCCCGGCTGCTCCCCTCCTGCAGGCTGGACTTTGTGGATGCAGTACCCACAATGGCCTCTGGAGGGCAGCAGCTGCCTGCCTTTCCCTGGGAGCTCCCCTGAAGCCACCTGTCCACCCAGGTGGCTGCAGGGCCCAGGCCGCCACCCATAGGGGTCAGCCCTTGACCCCCACCTGACACACACACACAGATGGGAGTGACCGCCTGTTGGGCCCCTCCCTGTGTCCACCCTAAGCCCTGCCCACGTGGCACCTGCACATCTGTGTGGACCACCCGACCTGCAGGCAGCCGGGCCCCTGCCACAGGGTGGACGTTGGCTGATGGAGGGCTGATGCTGGGCCAGGACGGGGTGGTCACAGGTGCGCCGGGCAGGCGGCCCCACAAACCCCGACACCCAAGGAAAGGCCAAGCCAGTCCGCAAGCCTGCGGCATCTCCCTGCCCAGCACAGGACTTAAAGCAGGCACAGCGGCCAGCCCTGGGGAGTGGGCGCCGGGAGAGGGCGGGCCTGCACCCCCTGGCTAGACTGCGCCTGATGGCTGGCGTGCCCCTGCCCACTGCACCGAGGCCGGGGCTCAGCAAAGGGACCACGGTGGCCTGAAAGCTTGCCCAAACACGCAGCCCAGTGCAGGCACTCAAATGGAGCCATGCTGGGTGGCACTTTTGACAACGAGCCTTTCCTGAAAAAGGGACCTGGAAGCAGGTCGGAATGGGGGCTGGCACAACCAGCATCTCTGCGGCTGAGTCCTGGGTTCTCAGGTCACATCCGTGGATCACCAGGCACTCGCTGAGCACCTGCTGTATACAGGGCCCTGGGCTCTGTACTGTGGGATGGATACATGTACGAGCTGCCACAGGAAAACACTATATTAACAGAGGTATAGTATCTAGAAGAAAGGAGGTGATTGCTCCCCTTCCTCTTGTCCTGGCGTGGTACTGGGTTCTGTTCTGACGACTATATTTTGAGGGGGATTTTGGCACAATTTGAAGCATCTTGGGGGAACATGCCAGGATGACGAACGATCTGGATTTCATGTCACGCCAAGAATGACTAAAGAAGGTGATAACAGTAGACAGTGTAATAACCTGTCCTGGGAGGTGGTGAGCTCCCCACCCTGAAAGTATTCAAGCAGAGGCAGGACATCAGCTTCCTCAGTCTGGGCTGGGAGTCGGCATGTCTGTTTCAGCCCCTCCACCCAGCCCTCTTCTCAGCTGCCAGTCTTTCCACCAGATCCGATCCCGTTGCTTGAACCCTGAGTGGCTCTTTGCTGCTCTTAGGATAAAAGAGTTGACTTCCCCACCCTCTGCTGGCGAGGCTGTGCCTGGTCTCCCCACTCCCAACCCCATCCTGCTCCCTCTACTCCTATCCCCACAGTCTTTCAGGCTCTCACTCTGGCCATGCTCCCACCCACCTCAGGGCCTTTGCACATGCTGTGACATGCCTGAAACACTCTTCCGTTCCCTTTCACAGAGCTAACTCCTGCTCACCCTCCAGGTGTCAGGCTTACTAGCCCTTTTTAGGGGCAGTGGTGCTGACTTCTGCCCTTCCACCCCTACACACACTTGATAGCCTCTACAGTGCTGTCCCCTTCATTCATGGTGACTCCTCTGCTGTAATTTCACGTTTGTCCATCTCCCGCTGCGGCCAGCTCCATGAGGACAGAGACGGCGTCAGTTTTGCTCACGGCTGTACCTCTGATGCCCTGCACAGCAGTCAGCACACAGCAGGGACTCAGTACACCCCCCAGGGTAACAGCAGAAGGAGAGCAGACGGAGGAAGAGCAAAGGCCTGGAGAGGGCAGGCTTGGGGGCCAGGCTCGGAGCCCCTCCTGCTGGCTGGCAAGCGCCTTCCTTTCAGGCCTCGGCATCCCGTCTCTAACACGGGGACGACCGTAACAAGCTCACCGCGAAGGCGGCGGAGCGCTCCGCGCGCTCCCGGGCTGCTCTCCGGCTCGCTCTTCACAGAATCCAGAGGGCGGGCTGTCTCTGCCCCGCCGGAGGCCTCGCAAACGTCAGATTCCCCGCAGGCCTGGTCGGCTTCCAGGAAGGCTTCCTGGAGGAGGAGGCAGCGGAGCAGGGCCGGAAGGAGAGATTCAGGGGCGCAGTGAGCGCAGCGGGGACACTCGCCCCACACCTGGCGGGCAACGCTGGCCTGCGGCGCCGGGCGCGGGGAGCGGGCGGGCGGGGCGGGCGGTCCCGGGGCGGCGCGGGCGGACTCGGCCCGGACTCCGGAGGCGCGAGCTCGCCGGGCCGCGGGTCACGTGGGCGCCGGCCGGCCAGGTGAGGCGGTGACGCAGGCGGCACGGCCAGGTGCCCCGGGCGCGCCCTGCCGTCCCTCCCGCCCGGCCCGCGCCCTGCCCACCTGGCCACCCACCTGGCGGGGCCGCAGCGCGCCGCCGCCTCCCGCCGGCCGCACAGGAAGTGGGGGGGCGGGGACAGGGAGGGACAGTGCGGCCGGGACAGAGCGGGGCCCGGAACGGCCGCCCGGCCAGGGCGCAGCCTGCAGGCTGGACCGGCCCCACCTCGGCCGCGGCGCTCGTCGCTCCGTCCTCGCCCCGCGGCGCAGGTGAGCCTGGGGGGAGACAGGTGAGCCTGGTGGGCAGAGGCAAGCCTCGGGGAGGGGGCTGGGAACGGTGGGGGCGCCTTTCCTCTCCTTCGCTTTTCCTACCAGTCCCCCCGGGGGTCCGCGAAACTTTGCGGCCCCCTCTCCCCCGGGCTGCCGGAGCGGGGCTGCGGAAGGGGGCGGAGCGCGCGGGCCGAGCCGCCGGACCAGGAGCCGGACCGACTCCACCCCCGGCCCCAGGCGTCCCTCTCCCGCCCCCTGCCGTCCCTTGAGCCCCGAGGGGAAGGCTTCCTGCCAGAGCTCCCCTTAGACGTCAAAGCTGAGACCCTCAGGAAGCCCCAGGACCTTTGAAAAGGGGAGTCAGGAGGGCCGGGGAAGCGACCCTCCTAGCAACTGGAGAATCTGCTGCCCAAATCCGCTTTGGCCCCAAGGGTCAGCAGCCCCAAGAAGGAAGACCCCTCCCCACAAGAAACCCCCAGCAAACCCCTCCCCCGCCCTGGGGTCCTGGGTGGGCAGACCCCAGGCAGGGAGCGCTCCTCCTCTGCCTCCAGCTCTGAAGGGAGGGGGAGAGGGGGAGGGTGGGGTCGGCCCTGGAGGGCGGTGGGTCCCACTTCCTGCTGAGACACCGTCTTAGCTGCCCCCCGGGTCTGCACCTGGAAGCCGGGATGCCTTCTGAGTGTGGGTGCGCCTCAGCTCAGCGCCTGGCCAGCGCGGGCCTCACCCCCTGTCTTCCAGGCATAGTCTGCACGGCCCAATGGGGGTCCCGAGGGGTGCTTGTTGGGTTCCCCAAGGCCATGCAGTGCATGGCGCCTGCGAGGCCTGGCTGGGCCTGGCGGGAGGGCCCCTGCCCCTGTACACCTATCTACCCTGACATCCCCGGTGGCCTAGTGCTGAGGGGTGGGGACCCCGGGTTGAAATCCCAGCTCCGTGTGAGTTAAGGCAAGTTTCTTGAGCCCTCCTGGCCTGTTTCCTCACCTGTAAGATGGGAGTGGTAGGGGTGTCACTCAGGGCCTGACTCAGCTCAGCTGAGCTCCTCTCTGGCCGCCGCCATGCAAGGCCCACGGGCCCTGGGAGGACGAGAACCTCCGTGAGAGGTGGGTGCAGGCAGGGCCAGGGGCCGTGGGCCAGGCGGGGCGTGCCGAGTCTGCACAGCACGAGGGGGGCTGGGGGCTTCCCGGGAGAAGTAAGGTCAAGTCACTTGGGCAGAAATCACCTGGGGAATGAGATGCAGTGAGCTGTGGGGAGGGCATCCCCATCCCGGAGGGCTCTGGTCCCCCGGGATCATCTCTGACCCTACACGGGTGGCCCCTTCACCCTCGCATGGGGAAACCGAGGCACAGGTGGAGCAGCTCGCCGGGGTCCATGTTTGCTGCCCCTGAGGGCCCATCCGATGGGCACAGCTGCCCGCTGGGCCCCCGGGCCCAGAATCTTAGTTTCGGTTTCCAGATGGGTGTCAGCTGCTGACTCCTTCCCGGGTAGTCCTCGTGCTCGAGCGGCCTCGGTGAGAGCTGCCCGCTGGGGCGGCGACACGGGGCCGGACGGGGCCTGGCTCCTCGGCCTCGCCCACTGAGGCGCCTTCCCTCGGCACTGGTTTCCTTACCTGTCCCACCTTCCAGAAGTCCAGTCAGGGACTCCAGACAGCGGGCAAGGAGGCGTTGGGGGGACACCCGCGGGCCACTGCTCCAGGCTCCCCAGGCAGGCAGTGCTCGGAGCTCCCAGGCCGGGCTGCTGTGGGGAAGCACCGTGTGCACCAGCCGAGCCAGGACAGGCCGGAGTCATGGGACATCTGAATCCGGAGCCAGGAGCCGGGAGCCACGAGAGGCAGGGTGGGCCCTGTGGGCAGAGCCAGGAGCGCTGTCTTCTCTTCTCTGTGGCGGTCGCAGTGCCTGAGGTGTCACAGGGAGGAGGCAGCTAGAGGCTTCTGCTCAGGTGGGAGGAGCAAAGGCCCGCGGCCGCCCCATCATGCTGTCTGGGGCTGTGTGGCCCGGGCGGGGGGTGTTCTCCTGACCCCCACCGTGAAGGGTGCCTCTCGGGTCAGCCAAGCCGGGGTTTCTCCGCCTCAGCCCTCTGCACGTCTGTTCCAGATAGTTCCTCGTTGTGGGGCCGTGCTGTGCACTGAAGGGTGCGGAGCAGCATCCCTGGCCTCTACCCACAGAGTCCAGTAGCTCGGCCCCACCTGTGACCACCAAGAATGTCTCTGGACACTGCCAGGTGTCCTCGGGGGCACAAAGCCACCCTGGTCGAGAACCCCAAGCTGCCCCGGCCGCCTTCAGTGGGACTGTTTGCCGTGTGCTGCATGGTTTCCAAGGCCGAATCCGGCCCTCAAATTCCATGGGACTCTGCGTCCCGAGCTCGGCTGGGCAGAGTTACCCGGGCACAAGGCCGGCATTGTGGGTGGAGGCTGCCTGAGCAAAGGCCGGGGTCGGGCAGACGGCGCCGGAGGGACAGAGCTCCTGGGCGGGGTGGGGTCAGCCGGACCTGGAGGCCGGGGCAGAAGGCACAGAGACCCCCCACATGTCCTAGCCGAGAGCTGGCAGGTCCCAGCTTGGTATGACTGGGTCCTGGCGGCTGAGTCGCGGGCCCAGGCCGGGAGGACTGTGCTTCTGCAGGGGACCAGGAGAGAGGGCACTGAGCCCACTGGGGTCCCAGGAGGCCCATCTGTCGGGGAGGATGAGGGAGCGAGGGGCTGGGCTGGAAGGGCCCGCTGGGCCAGGCCAGCCCGAAACGCAGAGAGCCAGGGAGGGGCCAAGTGCAGCTTAGGGCTGGACAGGCTGAGTCGGTCACTGGAGGCTGTGCAGAGACGTTCCCCAACCTCACCTGTTTGTCCCTGGCCCCCCACGCCCCTCTCCCAAGCCCTGAGTGTCCTTTACGCACCCTGCCTGTGTGCTGGGAACACCAGGGCAGGCTCAGGGCAAAGGGGAAATTGGGTGCCATGGGTTCCCAGGCCTCAGCTGCTGAGGGCCCTCCCCAGCCCACCCTGAACAGAGCAGCAGGAAGTCACCTGAAAGTCCACAGAAGGTGGCACAGCCGGTCTGGAAGCTCCTGTGGCAGTGCCCTGGTGGTTCCTGCGCAGGAAACAGAGGCCACATGAGGGCCAGTGCTCGGCATGGGACACCAGGGCCCCTTGGGGAGCACATAGTGCTGGGCGAGGACCCCAGGACAGAGCTGGTGCTCGTGATACTCGGCACTCACTTGTCAGTTTGGGGCTTGAGCCCTACTGTTTGTGGGGATGTGAACAGGAAATTGTCCCTGCCCCCAGAGGACCCACAGACTCCTGGGGAGACAGAGGGACAGACAGACAGCACACGGTTCTCGCTGCCATGAGTGTGTTTGGAGGAGCTTTCCGGGGCCGCCTTTGCTGGGGAGCAGACCTGCTCTGGTCACTGCAGGGTATCTGGCCTTTCTTGGTGGCACCGTTGTCCAGACAGCGTGGCTGGCATTTGCCCTGAGGGCAGCTGAAAGGAGAGTCTGTGCTCTCGGCCCCTCCCTGCACTGGCTCCAGGACACCAGGCAAAAGCTGGCGTCCAGTGCGGACATTGAAAGAGACACTCAACAGAACCAGCCAGCCAGAGGAGAGGCCGCCAGATGTGCACCCAGCTGGGGGTCCCAAAGAGGCTGCCGGGCAGAAGCTCACAGATGTGAGTGTGCGCTGGGCACACGGGCCTCCCACCAGCACAATATCTGTCTCCTAAATAGAAGCAGACAGCCAGCTGGGACCAGCAGGTGTTTGAGGAAAGCCTGGTGCCTGAGAGAGGAGCTCGCAGAGGCCACGATGGAGGAGGAACGGGGGCGTGGAGGAGTCAGGCCAGCGAAGAGGAAGAAACTAGCGCAAACGAAAGTAAAATCGTTTTGCTTGACGTTGACAGAAGATGTGGCGTGCATAAAACAAGAACAAGGTGCTATGAATAAAGAGCAGGAGAGAGCTCCCTGTAGGGCAACGAAAATGACAATGAACGTTTGGTGGAAAGCTTGGAAGATTACAGTGAGGGATGTCCCACAAAGGAGGACAAGGAGACAAAAAGTAGGCGAGAAGGGTCGGAAACTAGGAGATCATGTCAGACATCAGGAGTCGTTAACAGGCATTCCAGAAAGAGAGATCCCAGGAAACAGAGGTGGGAGAAATTATCCCGGAAATAGCACCAGGAAGTGCCTGGATCTAGAAGCCTCAGTCACGGGTTGGAAGGATGCACAAGTTCGTGGCTCAGGGAGTGAACGTGGACCCATCCCCGTGAGCACCAGGGCTCCCGGGCAGGGCTTCCAGGGCTGGGTGGAGCCTCAGGTCACAATCCAAAGAGCACAGTGGCACCCGTGTCAGCTGTGTCCCCAGCAGGTGGAAGCTGGGAGCTGAGGGAGGAGGGCTCCTCCATCCTGGACTGATCTCCCGCAGACTCTGAGCTCCCCAGTCACCGGCCGAGGGAATGGCAGAAAGAGGACATTTTCAGACAGGCCAAGACCCACCTCCCAGGACGCCACCTCGGGAAGGTGCTGCCCGGGGAAGGAGTGAGGACAGGCTGGAGCACAGAGAGGGAGGGAAGCAGGAAGAGGGACGGCCCGAAAGCAGAGAGGAGAGGGCCTGGGGAGACGGGGAAACAGGGAGCTGACCATATGAAGCACGTGATCAAGTCGCGGAACGTGTAGGGAAGAACGAACAGAAGGAAACCACGGCAACGGGAGGGAATCATTAACGAGGGGGAGGCGTGGCGCCAGCATCCTGCTGGGCCCAGCCTGCCGGCTGCCACAAACACCCAGGGCTATCGCTGTGCGGGCTGGACCCCCCAGCCCACACCCGGGAGAGGGTAGTGATGCCTTCAGTAGGGAGGTGGAGAAATAGTGGGCTGTGCCTTGTTGAGAAATTAGGGAAAAACTGAAGAGCCTGCAGTGGTGGCCTGTGGGGGACCTGGCCGTGGAGGAGGGGACGCCTGGGTTTCATGATAAGCCTTTGGGTGCTATTTGACCTTTGAACCTTTGTCCACGTGGTTCAGTGATAACTGAACACTGGAAGGAGGAAGACAGGTGCTGCCTGGGGTGGCTGCAGCTCCCGAGAGCCGGCTCGGGCTGGGGACAGAGCCTGGAGCTCCTGCCAAGGGGGCAGCGGCCTGGGATGGTGCCCGCTCTCCTCGGGTCCCAGGCTGGGGGCACCGCAGGCCTGTGGGCGAGGCTGCCTTGCTGGGAACGGAGGTCACACCCGGCACCGGCTCACCCAACAGGTTCTGTTTGGGCACCTTCGGGCCCAGAACGGACTTTGCCCTTTCCTGGGAGAGGCTGCGCCACTGGCCGGGTCCGGGGCCCGAGACAGGGAGGAAGGAGAGGAGGGGCGAGGGGACAGGGCCAGCAGGGGGCTTACAGGCACTTGGGGGCACAGTCGTGGTGCCAGCCTTTCAGCGCCACCTGCTCTTTACAGCTGTGCAAAGTGCCCTGTGTGAACACCGCACGGTCGGAGCCGAAGGGCTCGCAGGAGCTGTCTCCCGGCTGCACACTGGGCGCGTCTTGCTCGGCCTGCGTGCAGATCCGAGTCTAAAGGAGCCCGTGTCTCAGCCAGGCCGGGATGATGCAGACGAGTTAACGTGCGGGGGGCAATCCTGGGCAGCGCAGACCTGCCCGGCCCGGGGGAGGCCTGGTGTGGCTGGCCAGCCTCCGATGGGTGACTCAGAATGTCCCCAGGAATGCGTGGGCGGTGCTCCTGTGCAGGGCAGCTCCTCCCTGGGGCCGGAGGTGCTGTGCGCGCCTGCCTGGCGTGGTTTTGCCTGAGTGCTGGGAGAGCCGAGCGGCGAGAGCCAGGCTTCCGGGTGTCCGGCCTCCAAAGCCACTGCCACTGTGCCGTGATTTAGGAGGCGCCGTGTGGCCGGTCCTGCCCAGCCTCCCGCAGGACGGAATTCCTGGGCCCAAGCGTGAAAGCCCCTGCAGGGGACACACCCAGACCCAGCACTGGGCAGCCAATGTGTGAGGTGGGCCGGGGCTGGGACCCCTGGTGGGTTCTGGGGCGGGTGGTGGTGTCACTGGGTGGTGCCCACCCACCCAGCCCTCATCCCTGGCTGCATGCCCCTGGGGTGGGAAAGAGCAGGTCACAGCTCCCCTCCCCAGAGCTGTCAGATGAGCTCCTGGGTGGCGTTCCTTCCCGGATCCAAATCTGCGGGGAGAGTGACAAGGGCGCCGTGTGGCTCTGAGCAGCTCACTCCAGCTGGGCCCCTGGCAGAGAACTTGGAGCTTTGTTTTTCCATCTGAAAAGTAGGCTTTCCCCTCGCCCGGCCCTCGTAGTTTTAATGGGTGCAAGTTCTGCGTACACAGGGAGCGTGTGAACGGTGGCTATCCTTGTTTGTATTAAAACTAAAAGGAAGAGCAAAAGGACCGCGTTTCTCCGTTGTCCTCTTTGATGCTACAAAGTTCTCTTGAGCTGGCGCTTGCTCCGCCTGCGGCTGCCGCATGAGGAGCATAGGTGTCTGTGATGCTGCATGGGCCTGCTCGTCGTGATGTCGTGGCTCCTCGGTGGGCCAGGGCCATTTACACACTTGGTGCGAATGAGCCTGCAGACTCTTCTGGCCCCTCAGGGTGTACATTGTTGTCATTGTGCCCATTTTACAGATTTTGAAACAGGCACAGGAAGCAGCAGAGGGAAGCGGCGGTGGCGGTGGAGAGCAGGGTCTCTGAACACGCTGGGCAGGGGCAGGGGCTGGTGCCCGTGAGGCTTGTAGGCAGCCCTGCCAGGCCTGGGTGTGAAAGATGGCAGTGGACCCGTCCACACTGGCTGGACAACGCGCTGTCAGCCGGGACGAGCCAGGTCGTGCTGCAGCAACAAGTAGCCTGGAAGGTGCTTCAGACAGGCCTTCCCTCTGGCCGCACCAGCGCCCTGGGTCTGGGCTCCGCATGGCTTAGTCACTCAGGGCCCAGGCCAGCAGGACCCTATCCCCACGCGCACTTCCGCGTTCATGGAGCAGCAGCGTGTCCTGGGGCCATGGGCCGGGTCAGAGCCCTGCCAAGGCCTTGCCCCACTGTGTTCACACGCACAGCGACCCTGCCCGGCAAGGCTCCCGAGACAGGGATTGTCGGCCCCGTTCAGAGTTCGGAAACATGGAAAAACGTGGGTGTGTCGCTGGGCATGTGGAAGGGCTGTATAGACAGCTGCCACAGTGGTGTCCCTGCATGGGGCGGCCTGGAGGAAGGGCCGGGGGTCAGGCAGGCTGGGCGCAGATCCTGGTTCCGATGCCCCCTGTCCTGAATGCCTCTCAGGCCTCTGGGTCTCTCTGGGCCTCATTTCTTCACTGGCAGAATGAGAGTAAAGACAGCCCGTGCCTCCGGAGCGGGTGAGGTGGTCCACCTTGGGCACCAGCGTGAGGACCACGGCTCGGGGTGCCCTGGAGCCTCGGGCAAGGCGGGGCCTGGGGTCACTGCCTCCCCTCGGACGCAGGCCTCGGAAAAGCTCTGCAGGCAGGTTGTTCATCATCCTCGCCTTGACTGCAAGGAAATGGTGCCAAGGGCCCGAGTGGCTGACTCCAGTCCTGGGCTGTGGGGCCCAGGCCCAGGCACCCTGCACCGCCCGACACTTTCACCCCCAGCTCGAGAATTTGTCCTCGGTGTGTGCAACCTGCCAGGGGAAGCATGGTGGCCTTGCAGGGCCAGCCTCTATACAGGCTGCTCCCACCTGGCCCTCAAGCCCAGAGAACCAGCCGCCTGCCCTCTGCCTCAACCCAGCAGCCGGGTGCCTGCAGGCCTGAGACTGTCCCAAGCCTCCTGGGGGCCCAGTGACCATGGGCTCTGTGATGGCCAGCTCCGCCCTGGGCCGCTCACCGGCCTTGGAGCACTGCGGTCCTGAGCACGGGCTCTAGCCAGGGCAGGTACTGCAAAGGAGCGGATGGGGCCAGTGTGCAGGGGTTGTAGCGTGCATGTCCGCACGCAGCTTCACCTTTGCCCTTTCCCCCCAGGACCCTGTGGCCACTCAGCATGTCCCACCGGCACTCGGACAGCTCCTTGGAGGAGAAGCTCCTGGAATACCGCTTCCCCCCGGAGCTGCGGCTCGATCCCAAGGGGAACCCGGCGTGCGGGCTCCCGATGGTCCGGGGCTCCCTGCGAGACAGGGACAATGCCTCCTCCCCGCCTGAAACCCCCCCGTGCCCACCTCCCTCACCTGCGTCCTCCGAAGGCGAGACGCCGCGGGCCGTCGTCCTGAGCACGCAGAGCCCCGCAGCCCTCAAGCTGGGCACTCAGCAGCTGATCCCCAGGAGCCTGGCTGTGTCGAGCAAGGCCAAGACCCCGGCCCGCCACCAGAGCTTCGGGGCGGCCATGCTCAGCAAGGAGGCCGCCCGGCGGGACCCCCGGCTCCTCTCGGCCCCCAGCTTCTCCCTGGACGACATGGACATGGACACGGGCCCCGGGGGGATGCTTAGACGAAACCTGCGGAACCAATCCTACCGGGCGGCCATGAAGGGCCTGGGAATGCCGGGCAGCGAGGGGGGCCCCGTCAAGCTCAGCCCCAAGCTCCAGGCTCTGGCCGAGGAGCCCAGCCAGCCTCCTGCTCGGTGTCCAGCCAAAAATAAGGTAGGGGGCTGTCCACCTGGACAACGGGCTGGGGTCCGTGCCTCGGGAACTCATGGGCAGGGAGGGGGCCCAGCCATCATGTCACAGACCGTCATCACACAGCTGCCATCCTGTGAGCCCCTACCGTGTGCAGGCTCCTGATGTAGTTTATTCCATTTAAGCCCAACGACAGAGTGAGCGGAGTGTGTCCCACTTTGCAGACGAGGCAGCTAAGGCTCAGAAGCATCAAGGGTGTGACCCTGCACCCCTGGACTCTGGTGTCCCCACTCTCAGCCACAGTGGGGAGCAGAGCCTGGGAGAGAGCAGCCCCAAGGGGGAGCTGGCCTGTCTGAAGGATGCATTTCAGTGACAGCTTCCCGGCAGCTACGGGCCTGGGCTGGGTCTGCCCAAGGGGCTCCTGTCCACGCTCAGGAGGAGTCCGATGCTCCCTCTGCACGCACGCCCTTCCCTCCCCATCCGATAGCCATGCTCCCTTGGCATCACGAGCAGGCACAGGGCCGGTGGGAAGGGTGTCCTCTCCCAGGGCCCTCTGCACCCACGGTGGCTGTCCCTGGGGGTTCCTCTGCCTTGGGGTCCTGCCCGGACCGTGAGCTGTGGCCCTGGCCTGGGGAGAAGCCGAGCCCACCGTCAGAATGCTGGCGACCCGGCGAGGAGGGGGCAGGGGCAGGGAGAGCACTGGCCACTGTCCTCAGTTTAATGTCTCCCCTGGCCTGGGAGTGGGCACACCCCCTGCCACGCCTACTTGAGGCCCAGGCCCCAGCGACTCTGTTGACCCCTCGGCTCTCTGCACCCCCAGGGCCAGGCCTGCAGGTCCACTCATTCATTCGCTGTGGATTCATACATTCCGCGAACGTGTCCTGAGTGCTCCATGTACTCAGTGCTGGGGTACTGCCGTGAGCCCAGGGGCAGGCGGGGGGGGCTCTCAGGGCAGCGGGGACAGGGTGCCATGAGGGTGCTGAGGGTCGGGCTGGGGGTGCTCGGGCTGTGGGAGCACAGAGCAGGGGCTCCCAGGGGCTCAGGGCTAGGCAGGGCAGTCCTGGAGGACAGAGGGTTAAGCAGAGGTGTGGACCGAGGGCGGGTGCCCGGTGGAGGAGGGCCGAGGCCACAGCATGTGCCCAGACCTGGAGGCAGGAGGACTGGGGTGCTGGGGGCACGAGGCGGGGCAGCAGGGCCAGGGGCAGCTGGGAGCGCCACACAGTCCAGACCAGCAAGGGGAATTTTCAGGCCCACTGGTTTCGAGAAAGCAGCTCCCCTTTCCTGGAACCAGCACACCTGCAAGGTCGGGGAACAGTGTGTCCCAGCAGGGAGGTGGTCACTGAGTGGGCAACAGGGGGCCACCATGCAGGCCCCCACTCGCCTCCCCAGTCCCGCCGTCAGCTGCTGGGACCCTGGGCCTGTGCTGGGAGCTGGACACTAACCCGCCAGTCTCTCCTCTCCCTGCCGCCAGGTCCCAGATGTCGTGGGGCCCTGTGTGCGGCCCTGGCTCCACCCAGTGTCCCTTCTTGGCCTTCTCCCAGCCACACCTGTCTGCCTTGCTCAGGCTTTCCTCCAGACCCAATCAGGACACCCTACTTTCCTGAGCACCCTCTCTTAACTACTTCAATCCTGGCTCTTTCTCCAGGCAACCCTCCTGGATTTGCACAGCCCTTGTTACCTGCCCTGCCTGCTCTGAGCCCCCATTCCACCTCATCCTACCTGTCCTGGCCTCCGCTTGGTGGGCCGCCCCCATCCCTTGTGGAGCCAACATTTATTGAGCACCTTCTGTGTGCCCAGCAGAGTCCCCTCCCTTTGGGCACAGCTTCACACATGGAGCTGTGAGGGCCCCCTGGGCGGAGGAATCACTCCCTCTCATGCCCTCTCACCCTGCTGACTGCTGCTGTTTGTCTGTCTCTCGTTTGCACAGAAGACGCTGGGGCGGAAACGTGCACACAAGGGCTCCTTCAAGGACGGTGAGTGTGGCCACAGGAGGCAACTGGGGGGTGGGCCCGCCCAGATGAGCCTGGTCTCGATGGGGCCGTCCCGGAGGAGGAGGAGGTCTGGGTGCAGTGGCGTGGAGAATATGCTGGATGGGATCCCTCCAGAGACTGGAGGAACTGGTGGCCTGTCTGACCATGCGGCTGTGATGGGTCTAGAAAGGTCTAGAAGGTTCCCTTGGACGCCTTTCTACACTATCCCAGAGGCAGGGGGCAGACAGAACCCCCACAATGCATGTTGGAGGGAGGCATGGGGGACCAAGGTCAGACAGGAGGCAGCATCCTCTGAGGTGCAGATGCACCTGCTGCGTGCTCTGCCTGGAGCCCTCTTAGTCTACCGGAAGCCCGGTGTTGGGGGCTCAGGAGGGCATGGGTGATGGCTGGGCCTTGGGAGGGCTGAGCAGTGCATTCAGCCTGCTGCGGGTGGGGTGCCAACGGGACCCCACAAGGGAGATTGAGGGGTAGGTGCCTGCATAGCCAGGTTGGAGCACACAATGGGCGTGAGGAGCAGGGCCTTGGTGCTGGCCCAGGGTTCTGAGAATGCAGGGGCCCCAGCCAGGATGGGCTCTCCCCCTCTCCCTCCCAGCCCCCAGGCCTCTATGGACCCCCACCGGGCATGGGGAGACATCAGGATCTGGGCCTCCTTTCCCAGGAGAGCAGCAGCAATGCCCCAGGCCTGGGAGCGAGATGGGGGGAAGGCGGTGGGGGGGATGCTCGAGGGCTCAGCCACCTGGAGCCATATACCAGCCCATCCCCGTGGGGCTGCCGTGCACTCCGCTGCTGCAGAACCAGAGCCGGAGCTCCGCCTCCAATGGGGGGACTCTTGGGACCCAGCCCCTCCCCCAGGCCCTGCCTGCGGTGCTCTGATTTGTTGGCTTACCCAGGTCTGAAGGTGCCACATTTTGCACTGGGCTGCCAGCCCTGTGCTCCGCTCCACCATGGGAGCCAGCCCACCCGATGGCGCCTGCTCCGGGGGACCCTGTGCAGTGTGATGCTCTCGGGACCTTCAGGGGGCCCTCGGGAGGGCTCAGCCTGTGTGTTCCTGGGGGACCAGGCCTGCTCAGAGCCCCCAGGCCCGCAGGTGACTTGCCCCTTCTCCCCAGACCCACGGTTCTACCAGGAGATCCGGGAGCGGGGCCTAAACACCAGCCAAGAGTCAGACGACGAGCTCTCCAGCCCAGAGGGGACTCAGAAGGCGGACATCCCCATCGTGGTCAAGAGCTACCGGCCCCCCCAGGTCACCTGGAGCCAGCTCCCTGAGGTAGGGCCAGGGTGGTGGGGGACTCCCTTGCCCCGAGGCCATGGGCACAGCTGGCCTATGTCCTCCCAGTGAGGAGGAGAGCCTTCCAGAAGCGCCCCGTTATGCCCAGCTTAGAGTGGGGATCTCCTTCCTGGTGTCATCGGAGCCACCCTGCCTTATGGGGCAACTTGGGGTTGGTCACTGGAGGGAGAGAACAGTCGGGGGCACGTGTCACTAGTGGGTGTGTGGTGGATGTCCCACAGGTGAGCCCTGAACTCTGCTTCCTGCTCAGAGTCCCCTGCGGGGACCCCCTTCCCAGGGCCCTGCCCCTAGGAAAGAGCTAGGAGGGTCCTTGTGAGGAGGCAGGAGGGGAGGGGAGTGGGCGCAGGGCTGGGGGCCAGGGCCAGGCATTGGCTGTGACACTGAGCCCTGTGCCACTGCCAAGCCACCTCCTCACTTGCCACATCTGAGCGTGGGCCTGGTCCCTGCCCTGCAGGGCTGTGGGGGGCTTGGCAGAGAGCACAGCTGAGATGAGGCTCCTGTGCTCAGAGCACGTGCCAGGGAGGCAGCTGTCACTACCCCAGGAGGACACAGCTGGTCACGGGGCAGACGGACTCATGCCCCGTCCAAAGAGCCGAGGGCCGGAGCTGTGCTGCAGGCTGTGGGCGGGTGGCCAGTGGGGTTGGGGGCTGCCCTTCCTCTATCTAAGGCACAGTGGGGTTCCTTGTTGGTGCCCCCGTGGGGGACAAGGGGGGCCTCGGCACTGTGCCCGCCCACTATGCTCCGTGACACTGCATGCCATGGGACCCCTCAGCCAGGGAGGGGTCAGCATGGGGGTGAGGTCAGGCAGATGGAAAGGTCTGGAAATACATGTGAATTCCCACCTGCTGGGTGCCAGCTGCTGGGTATGCATGACCTGCTGGGTCTGGTGGGCTCCAGGACACGGCGCCCTTGAAACACTGCCGGAGATTCCGGTCCCGGCCACCTGAGCTGGGGTACCTGGGCCAAGTCCCCGGCTGCAGGAGGAGGCGAGGGATTTAGCCTCTGCCCAGGCACTGGTGATGACCTCTGCCCAGCTCAGTGAGGGGGAGGGCAAGAATCAGGGCCCCGGGTCCTGCAGAGGGGGCATCCCCAGGCAGCGGGGCAGCCGGCCCATCCTGCTGGGCTCTGCAGAGACGTGGTGGGCGTGCTGTGACTGACAACCATCTTCCAGCCAGGCCACCTGGGGCCACGGGGCCTGAGGGGGTAGAGAGCTGGGACGGTGTCACCCTGTACCTCCTGGGCAGGATGCTGACTCACCTGGCCCGGGCACGCCCCTCAGCTTTCCTGGTGGCTCTGCGCCACTCCACTAGCCAGGCAGCTCTCTGTGGGACCAGGCCCCCTCCCCACCCTCCGTGCCTGCCAGCCTTTCCCTCCGGTCCCCCATCCTCCCTTGGCTGCCTCAGGGCTGTTCAGGGGGTGGCCTGCCCAGGGGAGGTCTCCCTGGACCACGCAGGGACAGACCAGCTCAGTGCTTGGACTGTGCTGAGCCATGCAAGGGCAGTCCCAGGTGGCCCACAAAAGGTGGTTCTGCTGGGCCAGCCCGGCTCCCACCTTCTCCAGGCCTCCCTGCCATCCACGTCGACTCTGGCCCATTGAGGGAGGTTGGGCTTCCAGGATGCGCAGCCCATGACTCCTGGGCCTGTGCCCTCCTCAGGTGGTGGAGTCGGGCATCTTGGACCAGCTGCCGGCCGAGGAGCGCAAGAGGCAGGAGGTAAGGGGCCGGGCAGACCACACAACCTACCTGGGGGTACAACAGCCATGGGGACATCACCTGTCTGCCCACACATCGGCCACCTCCTGGGCCAGGCACCAGAATGGTGGCTGACACCGTTGGCGGGGTCGGGGCGGGGGCGGCTGCCATTACCCAATCCTCAGATGAGGTGAGAGTCCTTGCCCAGCATCACAGTTTATACGTGGCTGAGCCAGAGCACAAACCCAAGAATCCGGCCCGCGGCCCCAAGGCTGTCCTGACAGATCATCCAGGGGCCTGTCCAGTCAGCCGTCTCCGGCCTGGCCCCCACAGCCAGATAGAACCTCCATGGCCTGAGCACTCAGAAAAATGCCCCCCTGTGTGGGGGCCCGTCCAAACCCCTCTCCGGGCAGGGCCCCAGTGGGCGTAGCCACACCTCATCGCTCTCCTCTGCCCCAGGCCATCTTCGAGATCCTCACATCGGAGTTCTCCTACCAGCACAGCCTGGGCATTCTGGTGGCCGAGTTCCTGCAGTCCAGAGCGCTGCGGGCAACCATGACCCAGATGGAACACCACCACCTCTTCTCCAACATCCTGGACGTCCTGGGCGCCAGTCGGAAGTGAGGCCCGGCCCCCCGCGGTGTCTGGGGCAGGCTCTCAGCAGGGTGGGAAGGCCGGGGATCTGGGCGACCTCTGGCCTGTGGGTGTGGACGGCACTCTGGAGCAGCTGCTGGCTGGGAGGGAGCAAGAGAACCCCCACAGGCCCTGAGGCCACTGAGAGCTGGCCCCAGGGACAGCTGAGCACAGTGTCCTGGTGCCCCCAGCACCCTGTCCCCTGGATGTTCGAGAGGTAGAGTGCCACCCACAGTGGGGTGGCCTTGCCTGCTGATGGGCACGTTCCTGCCATGAAACCCGGTGCAGAGGGCAGAAGGACAAGGCATGAGGTGCCGACATGGCGGAGCCAGGAGGCAGCCTCGAGTTGCAGCCCTGGGTCGTGTTCCTCCCAGCCGTGTCTGATGCCCAGCCCAGGGCTCTGGTTGCAGGTCCGGAAGGTGGAGGAGGGGCTGGGCGTGCAGCCTCAGGCTTGCATGGGCCTGTATGTGTGTGTCCTGCACATGTGTGAGTGCACGTGTGTACGTGTGCACGTGTGTGAATGCGCATGTGCATGTTTGTGGCAGCAGATGTGTGTGTGTTTACACCTGGGGAGGGTGAGGTCCAGGTGCACTGTGTGCATTCAGCCCTGCACTGCTCTGGACCTGGGAGACCCAGGAGATCCCACGACACCTTCTGGCAGCTCCCTGAGCCTCAGCATCCTCCCTAACCCAATGGGGCGGGTCCCACAGGCCCCCTTGCAGACAGGGGTGGGGTGGGCAAGGTGGTGGGTGGCTCAGTGCTCAGTTCACTCGTCAGCATCACACCTGCAGCTTGCAGAGCCCCACCTAGAAGCTGCTGCCCGTGGGTCCCTGTGGAAGTGTCAGGGCCGTGAGGGGGAGCGGGGGGCTGTCTTGTCCCTGCAGGTGGGGCTTCCTGCAGAGCTCCAGTGACCGCCTGGGAGGCTCACGGTCCTTGACTCGGTGGGGGGCTCTGGGACAGCAGCTGACCCTCCACCCAGCTCTGACTCTTTGCTCTGTGTCCCCTGAGCGTGGCGGAGCTGAGGGCCTGGAACCTGCTATCGCCTGTTTGCATCTGACATCCACAGGGCCTCAGGCTGGCCACCACTGTCCTGCCTCCTGCCCCTAGCTGGGCCCCAGCAGCTCTGGGCCTTTCACAGCGGCCTCCCCAGGAATTGGCTATTTTGAGTCAGTGGCTGAGGGTCGGCTCTCCCGCACCTTTCTCAGAAGTCTTCTGAGGCACCCATGGGAGGTTCTGACGGGCATGGCCTGCCTGTGCATGCACGTGTGTGTGTGGCCCTGCGTCTGGGCAGCCAGGACCTCCTGGGGTGGGAGGGGGGGCTCCACATCTGTTCTTGACATGCTGTCTGCATCTGCCAGGGCTGCCCCGGAGTGGTGTCTCAGACTGCTCCACTTGCAGGAAGTGTGGCCCCCATGGGTGAAGGGCCAGGCCGGGGGCCAGTGAGCAGGGCCCTGAGGGACCCCTGCCCACCTCCAAGCCAAGACCTCGACCCCCTTCCGGGACCACCACCGGCCTTACCAAGGATGACCAGAGTGAGGCCCCATCTTCCAGAGGGGCAGGCCCACAGGTTGCTGGGGTTGACCATCCTCCTCCCAGGTGGTGGCCCTGCCACAGGTCCTGGGTGGGGCTGACAGCCGCCCACTCAGTGCCTGGGAACTGAGGACTGAGCTCCTCCCCGCCCTGCCCCCCCCTACCCAGGTGGGTGAACAGTAAAGGCCCCCCTCAGCCTGGTCACTCCCCAGGGAGGAGTGTGGGCCGCCTGGGGTTGCCCGTGTAGGGGCAGGTCTGTGCTCAGGGACTCTGCTCTCTGTCCGTCAGCTGGGTGTCTCAACTCCCAGACGGGGCTGCCCCAGATTGTCCCAGGAGCCCCGCTCAGCAGGGCTTTGAAAGAGGTAGACTTGGGAGAAATGCTGTGGTCCAACAGCCTCAAGCCCAGCACTGGGGAGGGGCCACAGGGGAAGGGGCTTCTGAGGGATAGAGCTATTAGGGTGGGAGGTCCTCCCGGCTGCCTTGGCCAGGACCTGGAGAGGTGATGGGGCCTTGGGCTCCAGCACTTTGCAGCTGTGCAGAATGCACTGGAGGCTCTGGCTCACGGCCTGCACACCAGGCGGCCCGACGTGGGTCTAGCCACGGTGGCAGTGGCTGCCCTGGGAGCAGAACCCTGGGCGGCCCTGGGCCAGCACTTCATCCTCATCTCCCCGCCCGAGGGACGGGTTACAGATGAGCCTCAGAAGGAGCCCAGCAAGAATCAGGGGTCTGGCGTTCCCCTCCAGAGAGTCTGCCCAGAGCCACAGCCCCATCCCTTGACCCTGCCTGAGCTGTGAGATCCTCGCGGCTCTGACCTGAGTCCCAGGGAATCAAGTCAGAGTGACAAGTTCTCCGTCGTGCCTGTCCACATTCCACGATGCTGCTAGAATCTGCCAGAAACTAGTGGGAAGCGGCCCTGGGTTTGGGTATTTGCCCAGTTATTCCAGGCTTAAGGAGCTGCTCTGTCCTGGGCTTTTCCTGGGAGGGCCGTGGCGTACAGCCCCTGCCAGGAGCACTGGCCCAGGTCCCGCCAGCCTGGGCACTCGGTCCACCACGAGCCTGCTGTGCTGGCTCTGGGAGCTTAGCTGAGTTCGGCCTCATGTGCATGTGTGTGCATGCATGCATGGGAAGTGTGGCAGTGGACAACCAGGCCCACGATCCTCGCCCTCGCAGGTTCTTCGAGGACCTGGAGCGGCGGCACAAGGCGCAGGTATGCGTGGAGGACATCAGCGACATTCTGGAGGAGCACGCCGAGAAGCACTTCCACCCCTATATCGCCTACTGCTCCAATGAGGTCTACCAGCAGCGCGCCCTGCAGAAGCTGACGTGAGTGGGGCCCCCCCGGTCCAGGGGATCTGGGCTCGGAAGATCCAGCACCTTGGTCTCGGAGCACGTTGCCCCTCTCAGCCTGATTCTGCAGGCTCTGCATGATTTCTGCATGGGCCGGCCACGCCTGCCCCCACCGCTGAGCAGAAGCCCTCTCTCCATTGCAGAAGCAGCAATGCCGCCTTCCGAGAGGTCCTGAGGGAGATCGAGAGGCGGCCGGCGTGCGGGGGCCTGCCCATGATCTCCTTCCTGATCCTGCCCATGCAGCGGGTGACCCGGCTGCCCCTCCTGACGGACGTGAGTAAAGGCCCAGACCTCGGCCAGGGGGAAGGTGGCCGGCCCGCCGACGGACCTGAGCTGCCCAGGCCCCCGCCTCCGGGTCAGGCATTGCTCCCTCTGGCCTTCTCCCTGACGCTTGGCCTGTGCCACGTGACAGTTATGAGGACAATGACACAACGGCTCTGATGGCCACAGCAGCTGTCACTGTCGCCTGCAGAGCTCTGTCAGGAGCCATTCACACTTTGCAGACTTTCATTCACTCACTCAGCAGCTCATGGGCTTCATTCATATCGATGGGTCTGATCCCGTGTTGCCCAGACCCCTACCGAGTGTCGGTCCTCAGCCACTCCCCAGAGTGGCTCCTATCTCTGAGATGCCAGCTCATGGGGCAGAGGGGCACATGGGAGCGAAAGGTACACACACGTACACATGTACGCATACACACGTGTGCACACAGGCATGCACATGCACACGCATGCATGCATGCACAGGCATGCAGCTAAGCTCCCGGAGGCAGCATGTGGCCTGTACTCAGTGGGTCAGCTGTCCAAGTCAGATGGGACATCAGACCCTCCTGGGCCCTCTGGGAATCGTAAAAATAGATGTTTCCAGGGGCCTCCCCAGGCTGGACTGAGATGGCCAGGGACTAGAAGCGGTGGGGTTCTGGGGGGAAGTGCTCACCCCAGGTTCCTACACAACCATCCTTTGGGGGCTCTGTGCCGCAGTGGGGCCTGGCAGGAGTCCTCTGGTGCTGGCGTTTGACCTCCCTGCAGCCCACATCGGGGTCTGGTGTTGGTGGGGAGCCCTTGCCCCATGCAGGCCCCTGAGGCTGGGCCGGGAGGGCACTTGGAGCCTTCTCACGTCTGGTGTCTTCTCTGCAGACACTCTGCCTCAAGACCCAGGGCCACCCCGAGAGGTACAAAGCCGCCAGCCGCGCACTGAAGGCCATCAGCAAGGTGAGACGGGACCCAGCCCAGCCCTGGGTTCTGCCGCCCATGCCCCCCGATGGCAGAGACCCTGAGGGCGGGGCGGGGAGCATCCCAGACTGTCCATCTCAAGCTTTTTGTGGTACTGGGAGAGTGGAGCTCGCACACAATTGGCGAGCCCGCAACAGGGCAGGGACCAGGACAGCCATGAGGGCAGGCACCACGGGCAGCCCCAGAGGACTGGGCCAGTGGGGCGCCCTGCACACGCAGGGGCCAACCGCGGCCTGCAGCACAGCCTGCTCTCATGTGCACACACCTCGCAGCTGGTGAAGCAGTGCAATGAAGGGGCGCACAAGATGGAGCGCACGGAGCAGATGTACATGCTGCACACCCAGCTGGACTTCAGCAAGGTCAAGGTGAGCGGTCCCAGGCGCGCTCAGACCTCTCCCCACCCCGCTGTCTGAGGTCAGGGCCCAGCGGCCCCTGTGTGAGGGCTGGAGAGAGGCCTCTGGGGGAGCCCACCCTGGTGAGGCCCAGGGCCTCTGCCTCGACCTCTCCAGGCCTCAGTTTCCCCATCTGGGTGTGTCCCTTGTGACTCCCCTGCCCCTTGACCACAGAGGCTCAGCTTTATGGCCCTCCTGCCCCAGGCCTCTCATGCCTACCCTCAGGGCTGTGGGGGCAGAGGGCAGATCCGCCCGAGTGGCCTTATGAGGGGAGCAGGTGGCAGCAGGCCCGGTTGGAGGCCTTACCCTGGGCCAGGGTCCCTTGCCACTGTGCTGACAACAGGAGAAGGGTGACCTCAGTGCCAGCTGAGGCTTCCCTGTGAGCCCAGGACACGTTCGTCAGTTCTGGGGAGGGGGCCAGCAGCCCATGCCTGCTCTCCTGCCCCTATGACCCCCAGCAACCCATGGACTGGCCCCTCCCGGTGCTGCCCAGGGGCCACCCCTGCCGCTGCCCCCAACCGTAGACCTGGGTCCCCCACCTCACTGTACCCCAGGCCACTTGGAGGTCAGAGCAAGGACCCAGTTTCAGGCCTGGCTGACCTCCAAGCAGGGCCCTCACCCTAGTGACGTTTCAAAACTGGTCCTGGCACGGGGCCAGGAGAGCAGGCGGCCCAGGCCGGGAACAAATGGGGATGGCCCAGAGCTGGGAGGATGTGAGGTTCAGAGTCCAGCAGGTGTGAGTGTCGCAGTGGGCACGTCTGGGGAGCAGAGGCTGGTGGGCAGACCACCTCGCTCCCTTCCCAGCCAGGCCCACTCTGCCTGCCCCCTGCCCATCCAGCTTAATGTGCCCAAGCAGCAGCCATGGTGGCGGGAGGCTTGGTCTGAGCGCCAGCTCCATGCCAAGTATGAGCACCGGCCATGGCGACATAGGACCCAGCGTGGCAGGGCCTGGGTGCATCCTGCCTGCCTGCGCCTCACTTGTTCCCGCTGAAGCCTGGCCTGTGCTCCAGGCTGCAGTGGGGCCGCCACTCCAAATGCAGGAAGGGCCCCTGGCCCCAGACGTGGCCATGCGGAGCCTGAGCGTAGATGCGGTCAGCTCCCTGCTGGGCAGGAGGTGCATTTGGGGCTTCCCCAGTGCACCCGTCGCTCCTGGCCCCTGGGGAGCGCTCCGAGGGTGCCCAGCGAGCCCCGGGGCCTGATCTGAGGCAGGGCCGGCCGGCCGTCCTGGGTTGCGGGGCAGGATCTGGGCCCAGGGCCTGGTGCAGAGTGGCCTCTGTGAGCGCCTGTTGGCTGACTGAATGGTCCTTTGTTTGGGGCCGGGAGCAGGGCACGCCCTTCCTCGGTCCAGCGCCGGGGACGGCCAGTAACCTGGTTCTTAGAGGCAGGGATTGGTGCCCACCTCCGGCCGCACGTCCCCTGCCCAGGGGGCTGGTTCATCCCTCCGCTCTGTCCCCTAGTCCCTCCCGCTCATCTCGGCCTCCCGCTGGCTGCTGAAGCGCGGGGAGCTCTTCCTGATGGAGGAGACCGGGCTTTTCCGAAAACTCGCCAGCCGGCCGACCTGCTACCTGTTCCTCTTCAATGATGTCCTGGTGGTCACCAAGAAGAAGAGGTAGGCCCGCCCGTGGGTGCCGGGCTGCACCCTGGGGAGTGGGCAGCAGCTGCGGCCTCGGGCCCAGAGGGGCGTGGTTGAGCCGGCCCCGAGCCTCCCCCGACCTCAGCGTTGGGGGTGCACAGTGGGGCCCCATCGCAGCCTGGCTTGCCCACTGGGTCCCCCTACATGAGGACACGCACACAGCTTCCTTTGGGTGCTCAGCGCCACACACACGACCTGGGGCGGCTGGTGCCTCCCGCGGGGCTGGCTCTGGCTTTCACCTGCAGACCTGGGACTGCCCGGCCAGGCCACGAAGAGCCAGAAATTCGCGGCCTCTGTTCTGCGGGTTCAGGGCGGGGCAGCTCTCAGGGGCGTCCTCCTGGCTGCTGTGGGGGAGCTGGGGGGCCCAGGCTGCACACAGGCCCGCTGCAGCACCCGGCCCACCACCGGTTTCCCTGCAGTGAGGACAGCTTCGTGGTCCAGGACTATGCCCAGGTGGACCACATCCAGGTTCAGAAGATGGAGCCCTCGGAGTCCCCCCTGCCCGGTGGTGGCGGCCGCAGCTCCTCCGTGCCCCACCTCTTCCAGGTCACCCTGCTGCACAACAGCGAGGGTCGCCAGGAGAAGATCCTGCTGTCCTGCGAGTCCGCGTAAGACTTGGGGGGGGCTCCTGGGGTGGGTGGGGTTCGTGCCGCTGACGTTCCTGAGTACCTACTGTGTGCAGGGCACTGTGGCGGGTGCCAGGGACAGCCTTGGCCTCACAGAGTTCACATTCCTGGGGGTCAGGGGGGACACCAGCCACAAAATGAGCAGCTGAACTGTCCCCCTGTGTCAGAGGGATGAGGACTAAGGAGGAAAACAAGACAGAAGAAGAGAACACCAGTTGCTGGCTGGGGAGGAAGGCCTCATTGACAAGGCAACACAGGGAGCAGTGCTCTGGCAGAGGCAGAGCCATGCAAAGGCCCTGAGGCAGGAGGGCCTGTGCTGGGGAGCAGCCAGGGCTAGAGTACAGGATGGGGGCAGTGGGAGTGAGGTCAGAACAGTGCAGGGAGGACAACGCTCAGAAAGATGCTGGTACTGAGGGGGCTCAGCAGACAAGGGAGGGGAAACAAGGGGCTCAGTCTCCATGCTCCCTCCAGCACGGCACTGTTTCCAGATGAGAAGCCAAGGCCTGTGTGTCAAACAGCAAACTCACAAGAGGCAGGGGCTTGGGGCCCAGTGTCGGGACAGGGGGTTGCCTGGGTTCTAGGGGCACAGCTGCCACCCAGCTGGGACCCTGGGCGGGTGGGACTCAGGCTCAGCCCTGTGACTTCCCACGCCTCAACCCATGGCACAGGGGGTGAGGGGAGGCCCAGGGTGGCCAGCCACTTACAACTGCTGGTCCAGGCAGCGTGAGCCTTCATCGCACTGCCTGTCCCACCTCCAGGGCTGTGGGGGGATGCTCAAGGACCCCCCATGAGGGGCTGCATGACCCCCCATCTTCCCACAGCACCACACTGGGGGTCATGTGCATGAAGCCAAAGGTCACCAGGCTGGCGGGTCGGCCTCGGGACCTCGCTCATGCTCTCTCTGGCCCCCAGGAGTGACCGGGCCCGGTGGATCACGGCGCTCACACACAGGGAGAGGCAGGGGCAGGGTCCCACCAACAAAGGAGGTGAGCACAGCCCCCTGACCCCGCTCCCGAGCACAGCTCCTGGCCCCTTTCCCAGCCCTGGGGCAGGGGGTTGGCCTGGAGAGGAGAGTGCCCATGCAGCCCTCTGTCCACCCCTCAGCCTGCCTCCAGGGTGACCAGACCCGGGACTGTGTGTCCATCTGTGCACACAGATCTAGCTCTGTCTCAGGGCCTCAGCCGCCCTGCACTGGGGAGGGAACCTGCCCCGTGCCCAGTAGCTGGGGAAACTGAGGCCAAAAGGGTAGAGCAGGATGGCCCACAGATCTGTCACCCCAGCTCCGGCCCTGCCTGGTCCCCTTAGCAGCTGGGAGTGCCCTCTGCTAGCGCTGGGCACTTGGCCCTAAAAGCTAGGGCAGCCTGTTTGTGGCCTCTGGAGGGGTCTCCCCTTTAGCCAAAGGGAAGCTGCCACATGTCCATGTACTGGGACACCTGGGGGCCTCTCAGGCCCCACCAGCACCAGCGCACAGGGGATGCATTGGGAGATGGAGCCCTGCCCGCCTTCGGCTGCAGAGCTCTCAGCCCACCCCTCCCCAAGAGCGTTCTGTCGCTGACACCTGCCCCTTCCCACCAGACCTGCTCCAGGTGGAGATCACCAAGGCCTACTTGGCCAAGCAGGTGGATGAGATCACGCTGCAGCAGGCGGATGTGGTCCTGATCCTGGAGCAGGAGGACGGTGAGCCAGCCGGGGCCGGGCATGGGGGGTGGGCAGGCTGGCACTGAATGAGAGTCTGGGGGCCCCGGCGAGGGTCCAGAGCACGCTGGCATGTGTGGCTGACCCTGAGCCCAGCAGCCCAGAAGCGGTTACTGCCCTGCTCATGGTGGGCCTGATTCCAAGGCCCACTGCAGCGCCCTCCCTCAAGGACGAGTCGCAGGGTCAAAAGCGGGTTCCTTGTCACTTTGTTCTGAGTGGGAGGAGGGTGGCTCTGCTGCTTCCGAGGCCCCAGGGCGGGCAAAGCTGGCTGGAGCCAGTTCAGCCCCCAGTGCCATTCTCCACCCCAGCACCTGACGGAAGACTGGGTGCCGTGTGGCCTTCAGCAAGGCCCCCTTGGCGGGAGGCCATGATGGTCAACTCCGAGAGATGCCTGGCTATGGCGTCTTCTGCAACGGCAGCTCAGAGGGCTGCCAACATGGGGGCCCCCTCCTGGTGCCCAGGACCCTGCCCTCACCTGCCCCGCGTCTGGGTTCAGGATGGTTCTACGGCGAGAGACTGCGGGATGGAGAGACGGGCTGGTTCCCCGAGGACTTTGCCCGGAGCATCACCAGCCGTGTGGCCGTGGAGGGCAATGTGCGCAGGATGGAGCGGCTGCGGGTGGAGACAGATGTGTAGCCAGGACGTGCACCTCGGGAGGCCAGGCTGCTGTGGCAGCAGCTGCGGTTCCTACTCCAGCAAGCAGCTGTGTCCAGCTCCAAAGAGCGTGGTGGGCTTGTCCCAGGAGACTCAACCATCCCTGGGTCTCCCCAAGGCCCCCTGGGCTACAGCGCTGGCTCCAGACACTTCCAAGGAGGAACATGGTACTTGCCTCTGGGGACTGACCCCAGCAGGAGTCCTGGGAGGAGCCCAGACAGGCCGGCCCCTCCTATAGGCCCTGCCCCGCCCCAGCTCCCGGCCGCCCCGCCCCTGCCCTCCTGTGTACCTGCAGGGCTGTCGTGCCTGGCTGACGTGATGGAGGAGGGTGGAGAACCGTGGGATGACGTGGGCTGTCTCCCTCCCGCGCCCCTCCTGCCTCAGCGTGGGACGACGAGGGCCTCGAGTGCCCAGGGCTGCCCCACGTTCCAAGAAGGGCAGGAAATGGCCATGCAGTGCCAGCGCTGAAATTGTGACGTTAAGGTTTCTGGAGACATTAAAGCGTTTGTTTAACACCTGGATTTCCACAGCAAATCTGAGTTCAGGTGAAGGCCACGTGAGTCCCCACAAAATTCCCAAGGTGCTATGGGCCTGGACTGGCCCCATGAGTGTGGTCACCTGTGCTGGGTCCTGGGGACTTGTCCAGGCCCTCATACAAGGTCACCCCATGCTTGACCTTGGCCCACCTGTCATGGGCAAGGCCAGTGGGTCTGGGAACTTGACACAGCAGAGCCTGTGGGGACCTCTCTGAGGTGTCCTCCCAGCCCCCACCTCCCTCATGCCCCCACTGGGGCCCAGCCCGTCTGCCCCCCCAGGACCAGGGACATGCAGGTGGGGCACAGCAGGCTGGTTGGCTGACCTGGGCTGGGGAGGTATCCTGCTTCCCAGGGGAGGGTGACAGTGTGCCTGGGTGGGAGGCGCTGCTGGGCCACGCGCGAGGATGGGGCCTGCTCCCCGGAAGTGTCCCCTGCCCCTCCGCCAGCCCTCCCACTTCCCATGCCGGGTGCCCCTCTCGGCTTGGGCGGTGCTGTCCTTGGGGTGGGGGCTCCCAGCATTCTCCTGAGAATCTGCCTGGACCCCGCTGTGGCTGGGCTGCTTCATGAAAGCCAGGGGTGCTGCTCCCCAGAAGTGGGTGATTCGGGAGGCCTGCCCCCTGCCCCTCCAGCCCTGGGGCCAGCAGGGAGGAGTGGAGGAAGGAGTGGAGCTCTGGGCACTGCCCGCTGGACCAGGTGGTGGAGGGAGGTTGGCACCAGGAGGAGGGGGCAGCTCCTCCCCATTGACCTCCAAGGCCTCAGGCAGCCAGAAAGGTCAGGCCGAGGTCAGAGCCAAGCAGGGCTGTCCTGGGCAGGGGCTCCGCAGGATGGGGGATGGGACAGGGCCAGGCTCAGGGAAAAAGGCATAGTCTGGGGACTTGGGCCACCGGAGACCAGGCCCAGCTTCCCCCACTGCCTGGACAGGTGGAAATCGCCCACCTGTGAGTTGAGTTAACTCCCTGCTCTAATCCTGGAGCTGCTGTGGGGCCAGCTGGCGGCCGGGGCGGGGCTGCGTGCGCAGGGGTGTGTGTGTGTGTGCAGGTGTGTGTGCATGTATGTGCATGTGTGCCTCAGGCACGAGCCAGGGGGCAGCATCTTTGTGTAAGCCTGGCTACCCCAGGACTAGCTCCTTTGTCCTCACCAATGACCCCCGAGACCCTCCCCGGGGAGGGCAGGGTGGCCCAGCGCCCCATCCTCTGCCGGGTTAAGTTCTCTGTTAAAGGAGCAAAGAGGGTTTGGGAAAGCCCTGAGGCCATGTCCTCGCTTTTGTGACCTGGGCAGGGCATGACCTTAATTAAGGCCCTTTCCTTCATAAGCAAGGAGTAAGAATGCTTGGCCTGGAGAAAGGCCGTCCCAGGACTGGGGGTGGGGCTGCCATGGGGGCGGGGCTGTTGGGGGTGGTCGGCTCCACCTGGGGAGGGCCAGACCCAGCCAGCTGAGGAGGAGAACCCTTGCAAGCAGGATCGGGAAGCACAGGTCCGGCTGCGGGAGGCCTGGTCAGAGGCGGTGAGGAGAGGAAGGCTGGGGCGTGCTCCAGTCCCTTCTCCCAGCATGGGTGCCTGCTGGAGCCCCCTCAAGGGGCCGCTGCTCAGCCTGGGGTCCAGCCCCAAGGGGCACAGGTGTTGTGACCCCTCAGGCATGGCAGGGCCAGCTGGAGGGCTAAAGGGTGCTCTGACCTGCCTGCTTGCCGAGCTGGCCCTCTTAGGAGCGCAGATGTCCTCAGTGTTGGTGCCCAGGTGGCACTCACCCTCCCTCAGATAACAGGGCTCCTGTGGAGGACCCTGCCCCACCTGCTCTACTGGGGAGGGGTCACCAGCACCAGGGGCAGGCCCCGGGTCTCAGGAGGCAGGGCCTGTCTAGCCCAGCCCCTCCTCCCAGCCCCTGCACTGCTCCTCCTGTTGCAGGTGAGGAAACTGAGGCCCAAAGGCCCTGTGCCCATTGCTGGCCAGTGGGCTGGTAGGGGGACAGCAAGGCTTCCTAGGATACCAGGCAACCCCAGCAAGGCCCATCCAGAGCGGGATCCAGTGGGACCAGATGCTGAGGAGACCCAGCCCCCACTTGGCCTGGGGCACCTGGGGGAGGTGTCTGCAAGGCCCTGGGGAATGGGGGGCTGGTGCCAGGGCCTTGGGGCGGAGCCACTTCCCCAGAGCCACCCAGGCACCTCAGTGCTCAGCCCCCCGTGGGCACCCCCCACCCTCCCTGGGGAGGTGGGCGGGGGGTGTGGTCCACCGGAGTGCAGGAGGCCAGGCGTGAGCGGTCACACAGCCGGTCAGCCCACCCGTTCCCCTGTCCGGTGGAGCAGCAGGCGAGGAGCCTCGCCTCGCCCTCTGCTCCACACCACCCTCCAGAGTGTGCTGTACATCCTGGAACCCGCGGGCGTCCCTGTAAACTAGTGTCCTCTTATGGGGGCTACCTAATTTACATAAAGGGTATGTGCTCATGTGACCTTAATTCTCATCTCACTCAACATGGATTTTAGGATCTCTCTCTGCCACTGTATGCACACCTGGCTCACTGCTCCCAGCCACTCTGGAACATTCCAGGGACTCCACACCCCGCCCCCCCTTACCGCCCCCTGGTGGCCGGCAGGGGCACTGCAGCCCTGCCCTCAGGATTCGATTCCATTGCCCCAACCCCCAGGCTGTCCACAGTGGGACCCCAGCAGTACATTCCCCACGCCTCCCTTAGAGCCCTCGGACTCCACTTCTGTCCCTTGGGAGTAAAGCCGTCTCCCAGTGCTGGGACGTGTGGATCTCAGCTTCTCCGTCCAGCCCCTCGCTGGCCGTGGGGTGTCCATGAATTCTGCTCACTTCCTCACCACCCTTTGCTATTTGCTGCCGTTCCTGACATCAGACCCTCATCTGTGTCAGATATCCCGAACTGCCCACCAGTTGTGACCTGCCTACCCCATCACTGGGCCTCTCATTGAACGTGGGGTTGCATCAGATTTGAAGACGGCCGAGGCAACGTCTTCACTCCCGGGCCCTGTTCAGGTCGTCCACTCTCTTGAAGACTTCGTGCATCCTTTTGCCAGACAGATTCCCAGATGTTTCTGGGTTCTGTTGCCATGCCGAACGGTATCTTACTATGTATTCTGTTTTCTGGTGGGTTATTGCTGGTGTTGAAAAACTATTGATTTTTATAGGCTTTATTCCACATCTGATGGGATCTGTATGAGTTTGCCGCCCACCCTGCTGGATCCTTACAGTATGCTCATTTGTCTGCGGGCCCATCAGCCCCCTATCCCGAGAGTCCTCCCCCTGAAAGCAGGGCCGGTGGTCTCTTCCCTGCAGGGCCCCCCACCACTGCTTGTCTCTTGCTCAGCTGACAGTGGCCTGGGGTGTCCCGAGCACTGCTGGGCTGGGGGAGGAGTGACGATACCCACATCTTCCAATCCTTGATCTGAAGGGGGTTTACTCATCCATTCCACAGGACCCCACCCAGGTCCTGCCCGGGTGGTCCAGCATGCGGGAAGCAGGGCCCCCACCTCCTAGATTTTGCATTCTGGTGTGGAAGGACAGCCAAACAGAGATCCGGGCTATAACGTCAGGGCCGTAGAGATCAATAACCCCAGGAGAAGAACAAGCAGGACCCCACATGGTGCATTAGGTGGCAAGGCAGGCCCTGGGGTGGCTTCATGTGGACAGACTTGAATCCATTGGTTTCTCCATTAAACTTGCAGTAGACTCTTGGCACAAAAGCATCGTCAAGAAACTTGTCTCTGTACCTAGTTTTCCAAGAATTTGTATCCTGCATCGATGTCGAATGCTTCCTGCTTTGACCAATCATCTGATTTCTCACCCAAATACTGACACATTTTCCAATGTTAAACTGTCCTTATGTTTCCATCATGGCCAATTCCCCTTGGATCAAGTGGATATTATTTTTAAGATATTTTTATTTGAGTAGCTAATACTTTACTTAGGATTTTTGCATACATGTAATGAGTCTGTAATTTTCTTGTACTGCCCCAACATCTGGTTTTAGAACAAAATTGATCTTGGCTTCATGGAATGAGTAGAGTTGCTTTTCCTCTATTTAAAGTTTCTGGAAGAACTTACATTGGACAAGTTCACGGTGTCTTGAAAGTCCAGCATGACCACCTACGCCAGCACCTGCCCCAGGCATCACTGGGGACGATGGCAGAGGAGGAGGTGGGGAGCCTGCATCACTGTTTGCATTTACCTAAGCTATTGGTTTATCCAAGTTTTTTATTTCTACCTACACCAATCCTGGCATTTTATATTTTCCCAAAAACATACCCACTTTTCTAAGTTTTCAAAGTTATTGGTATATAGTTGTTCAAGTCTTCCTTTTTGTCTTACTCTATTGTGTCTGTAGTTAATTATTCCTCCTTTTGTAATTTTTTCTTCATCTTGCTGGAGTTTTTTCTCGTATTAGTCTTTAAAGAGGGAATTTTGTTAAATGTCCCATTATTCTCCGTTTGCTGAGTGTAAAGTCTATATACATAAATATAAATGTGTATATAAATGAATATAATCTGTGAAGACAGGCATATATATATATATATATATATATATAGCATGTGTGTTGAAGGTTATTAAAATGCATTATTGCTTATGTTTTGTTGCTTAACCCACTGGTTTTTGTAACAAGCACGTTAAACTCGGCAGTTACGATTCTTTGTTATATCCATCATTGCTTTGTGACTTTCTCAGCCTCTATTGTTAGGTGCATATATGTGTAGACAAATATTGATTAACAGTTGCTTATGATGCTTTTCACCCAGAAATATTAAAACCCCTAGCCCAGCTTTCTTGGTATGCTTTAGATGCTTGTATTTCTAGCCTTCAGGCGTGCCTCTTACAGTTAACATTCTGTTCAATCCTGTTTCACATGGTCTAGGGATCTGGGTTTTGATCACCATTTGTAAACATTTACACTAGGATTTGTTCATCTATTTTCTTCTCCTCATGCTTTATTCTTCCTCCTTACCTGCCTTCCACTGGAGAGATGAAACATCCTCCAGATGGTTTAGAAGTTGAACACCCCGTCAGTATTCTGTGGTGGTCACGTCCACCTTACTACATCTGTCTGCACTCGGGTTTATGGCCTTGTCACTGTCGTAGCTCTTCACTGTGTCCCCGCACCAGCAGGTGACATCGCAGCAGTCTCCCTCCCGCCTCCAGCCCTCACGCAGGTGAGACTGTGCTCAGTTTCCAGTGTCGATTAATGTGAGCATTCGATTCTCTTACTGGATTGTATGGGGAACGTGGTGACCATTTCATGGCGGCCCCCGGGCTGCTTCCTCTTCCTGCCGGAGAACTTCCTTTGAGCGCATTTTCAAATCAGGTTTCTGTGTGGTAACCCACCGGGGCCTTGGAGACCCAAGAATAATGCTGACCTTGCTTTTTAGCGATAATTTAGCAGGACATAAAATTCAAGTTTCAAATTCTTCCTTCAACCCTGAAAACAGCAAATCACTGTCTTCCTGCCCCAAGTGTTTCTGTGTTAAAGTCTGAGGTCTCTCTGATTCCTGTTCTCTTTTTCTGAGCATTTTAGAATTTCTCTTTGCTGCTACACTCTTAAAGTTCTTTAGATTATGGCTTTTTTACTTTTATTTTTTTGGCACTGTGAGTCCTTCCAATCTGCGAGCATCTACCTTCTGACCTGAGAACTTCTTGTTCATTGCTGCTTCGCGTCACTGGTTTTTTTCTTCCTTTTCTGGGACTTCAATTCAACAGATGTTAAGACCTGTCTCACCCATTTCTGGCGGCCTTCCTTTTGTAATTTCACAGCCTCCCTTCTGCCCTGGGACAGCATCCTGAGCTGGAAAACCCATTACTCAGCTGTGTCTGTGCCACCCACCCACGGGATGCTCCAATTTCTGCGTCCTCCACACTCTGCCTTCACCACAGGTCCTGCTCTAACCACTTCTTCCCGCATCATGTCACCATCTGATCATCTCTTATTCCTTCCAGGATATTTATTATATTTACTCCAAAGTCTGAACATGGTGGCCCATTAATCTGGCTTCCTCTCACTAGTCGTCCATTTAAGGGGACGGGTTTACTAGAACCCTCCTTGTTTTGCCCCCTGAGATCCTTTGTCGTTGGAGGTATCAGCTAGCTGGGCTGGTGTTGGAGGGGAGGGGAGGGGGCTACAGCCCAGACTTGAAGTATCCAGTGTGACAATTTGGGTCCAACACTCCCTACTGGCCACCTGGCCCTGTGATGTTCTCCCCCACTTACCATGTTTCTGCCCTGAAGATAGGGGAGACATGGGGGTAGACGGCACCTAGGCTGCCCCCACACCACCCCTGCCCGTGGGCTGGTTCTCCTCCCCTCGAGACCATGCTTCCTCCATGCAGGCTGTGCTTCCTGGGTCTCGGGACATCTCGGGGCACCTGGCTGTGAGCTTGTTTTGCAGGTCCATCTGCCTCCATTTGGGGCAGCCCCTGTGTGCCCCTCTAGAGCACCAGGATAAGCCCCAACTTTATTTTTGTGGCACCCCCATTCCCAGGGAGAGCAGGGGCTGATGGAGCCAGGTGCCTGCCTGGCTTCCCTGGTCAGGGGAGGTTCCTGACCAAGCACACTCATGCTGTCGTGCCCAGGAGGCCGCCACGGCGGAGCCCCAACAAAGCAGCAGATGCACAGGCCGCGAGGAAGCTGCCGCTCTGTTCTTAGCTGACTGGGTTTCACAGGGCGCTGGAGCCCGTGCCCGGAGGGCCCCACAGTCCCGGGTCAGGGCTTCCTGGGGCCAAGGAGGAGCCGGGCAGCCTTCCAGCCCTCAGGGCGCAGCAGGGCGTGTCCAGTGCCCATAAATACCTTTACATAAATACAGCCGGGCTACATTCCCAGGTAAACCGGCTGAGCTGCCGCAGTCAGGGGCCTAGCACCAGAAGAACCTGCTTGGGGGGCAGGGGCCCCATGCCTGCACCTGTAGCTGCACCCACAGCTGCCCTCAGTCCCGACCCAGGCCAGCCGGAGGGGTGGGCTTCCTCAGCACACGCGGGGTCCGGCCAGTGCAGCTGTGCTGCCCAAGGCCCAGTCCACTCGCCCAGGCTCTGCAGAGCTGGCCATGCAAGGCCTCCCTCCTTGTGGCCGGATGACCCTCGGAGAGCGAGAGCTGCACGCTGCCCACAGCCCACAGAGACAAGGATGGGGCTGGAGTCCTGGCCCACAGGCGTCCCTCCCTGGTCATCATCAAAGTCTCTGGTGCCCTGGGCGGTCCTCGGGCGGCAGGCCTCAGCGCAGGCAGCCTCTAAGTTAGTGCTTCTCTGTCCCGCTCCCGAGCCGGGGCGCTGATCCATGAGAGGCTGAGGGCGAGGCTGCTGCACAGGGGAAAAGAGGGTCAGCCCCAGGGCAGGTGGAGAGCTTCGAAGCCACCAGAGCTCTGGGCTCACACTTCACGCTTCCCTCACTGCCCTTCTGGCTCCAGCCCGACGGAGGAGACACAGCCACCCCCTCCTCCCAGCTCCCACGCAGCCGCATCTCAGACGTGCAGATTCTGGAATGCCCACCGCCCTGTGGAGCCCAGATTCTGCCTATGTGCCCCGTCTCCATCCCTCCTCAGGCCTCAGTCTGCTGCTAACAGACCAATGATGCCAACAACACCACCCTCCTGGAAACGTGGTGAGACTTCCCAGCCCCCTTACCTGGGCCCGGGGTTGGGGACAGGCTCTCGGGGAGCTGGGGGGGCCCACCTGAAGCAAGACAGACAGTAGCTCATACTAATGCCCTGGATCCTTAGCACCCACCACCAGACCATCCACTTAGGCCTGCAAGGACCCCCACTCCCACCCTGGAGAGCCTGCCCCCACTCCTGTGCAAATGGTGGGGTCTCCTCCTCAAATGAAAGCCCCAGCGCCGCCTGCCCAGGCAGAAGGGGGGCTGGGAGGCAGGGCTTTGGGAAGCATGAAGGCCTTCACTTGAGGCCAAGCTGTGTTCACTCCAGGGCACAGGGCAGCAAGGCCCTGCCTGTCTCCTTCCCACCTGGCCTCAGGCAGGGGAGGCCTTGGTCAGTAGCAGGGGTTGGGGCGGCAGCAGGGGTTGGGGCAGCTCAGGCAGCCATATCGCCGGCTCCACACCCCCCAGCTCAATGTCAAGGCGGCCCAGGGCAGGGCCTGCGGTGCAGTACCACACCTGACCACCAGGTGCTGCCCGAGCACCAGCCCTGCAACTTCTGCCTCCACCTCGCGGACCCCACTCCCTGTGGCAGGAGAGAGCCCTCTGCTAATGGCTCTTAACAGCTGGGGGCCAGGGCTGCCTTGGAGAGGCTTGAGAAGAGGCATGCACACACCACATCAAGCCTGTGTGTGGGGTCATCAAGCCGAGGACCCCAGTCTGGAATCCGCATTCACAGCTCCCCCTTCACCCATCTGCAAGGCCTGCCTGGCACAGCCTCAAGCCGGCCTCCTGCCTCCCTCTGCAGACATGACCCTCTCAGTGTGCACAGGTCCCTTCCCAACAGCAGGCTGGGTCTGGGGAGCTGACCAGGAGACACCAGAGGGGCCTGTGCACCCCCACACTGTGCCTGTGGACAGCATGTTCCCCCTGAGTCTCCAGGGCTGAGAGACCAAGGTGCTGCCATTGAAGCTTCCCTGACTATGCCTGTGGGTGCGTGTGGGCACATGTGTGCACTGGAGCACATGCATGCACTGGAGCACACCCGTGCACTGGGGCACACGTATATGCTAGACCACACATGCACTGGCATGCACACGTATGCACTGGAGCATATATGCACTGGCATGCACACACTGAGGCACACATAGGTGTTAGCATGCACAGATGGAGCACACACAGGCACTGCTGCACACACATGCACACGTGTACTGTCATGCACTGGTCCATGTGCAGCCAAGGCAAGGAGCGGGTGGTGGTGGGGGCTGGGTCAGTGCCCACCTGCACTGGATCACCCAGCCCTGCCCATGGGGTCACGGCCCTCTGCAGTTTGAGCCCACCCTCACTGGGGCTGGAGAAGTGGGACTACTTTGTGCTGGCAGCACAGCCAAGCCCTACCCCATGGTCCAGTGGCTGTACGGTTCACATTTCACCCACCAGAAGCCGTGCGGACACCATGGGTACCACGTGGGGATGGTGACATTAGCGCAGGTCAGCCTGGCCCAGCCGACTCTGCGTGTGGGGTGGAGGGATGGGGAGAAGAGACAGGGCCTCGGCCAGGGGTGGGCCTGGGGGCACGGTGTCCTCCTTCCTCTCCCCTGGGAGCCTGACTCACCTTGCCGGCACGTGGGCCCTGTGTAGCCGTCCACACAGTGGCACTGCCCAGTGATGGGGTCACAATCAGCCCCACCCCCGCAGTCACAGCGCAGGGCACAGCCCGGCCCGAAGAGGCCCCCTCTGCAGTCTGCAGGCAGGAGAGGGCAAGAGATGTGCCTGAGTGCTATTTCTGTCTGGCCCAGCCAGGGAACCCCCGGCCTTCGGGCAACCCTCCGGGTGGGGGCATGCGGGAGCAAAAACATCGGGCCTCAGTTTCCCGGCCGCATGTGAGCCCTCACATGGGAAAGTGCCAGCACTGGGCACCTGCCAAGGCCCCAGGCTGGCAAACGGGGACCTTGCAGTCAGGGGTGCTTCTCCCCAGGGCAAGATAGGCAAGACGTGTGTCCTGCAGCCCATGAAGAACGGCCCCTCCTATCTCCAGGCAGCCTGGCCGATCAGGGAGGTCTCCTTCCCACCTAACTGGGGCCTCTGCCTATGAGTACAGGCCCCACCCCAGGAAGAGGCCACTGCAGAGACTCTGTGGGCAGCCAGAGGGCAGGGTGTGGCCCTCACTGACCGCAAGCAGGAGCTCCATGCTGGGCCCCTCAGAGCAGCTGCCCTGCAGAGGCAGGACAGGTGCAGGAGGGCACCGTGCCCGACCGGGGCTCAATCAATGCAAGGCAGACTGGCCATTGATGGAGACCCATGCCCATGCCCCCCTCAGTGGGACCCCAGACTCACCAAGGTCACAGGTGGCCCCCATGCGCCCTGGGGGACAAAGGCAGTGGCCGGTGATGGGGTCACAGGGCACCCCACTCTCACAGTCACACTGCTGGTGGCAGCCCTCTCCAAATGAGCCCGGCTCGCACCCTGGTGAGGACAGTGGGCTCAGCGTCTCCTCCTGCCCCTCACTTGGACTGGACAGGGCCAGGGCTCAGGTTGGGGCACAGAACACTCACCCCTCTCACAGAACTGGCCGTGGAAGCCGGCGGGACAGAGGCACTGGCCGCTGACGGGGTGGCAGGGAGCTCCCTGCTGACACTCGCACGCCCCCTGGCAGCCAGCCCCGTGGAAGCCAGGAGGACAAACTGAGGGAGACCTGGGTCAGAGCTCCTGTCTCGGTTTGCCCAGAGCGAGCAAAGGGCGGGGTTCAGGGGCCCGAGCTCTCCCGTCACGGCAGGGAGCTTGTCTGCTCCCGTGTGACCCTGAGCAGGGGACCTGTGGCCTCAGAGCCCTGCTGTGAGCCAGTCAAGCCTTATCTCATGGGGCCCCCATGGGGAGTGACATGGAAAGTGGCCGTCACTGTGCGAAGCCCAGGTGGGCCCAGATCCTCCCCACAGGAAAAGCGGACGCGGGAGCAGGGGTCCCAAGCCCACCACTCACGGTGCTCACAGGCCTGGCCGTAGAAGCCGGGGCGGCAGCGGCAGGCGCCCGTGGCGGGCTCACAGGTGCCGTTGTTGCGGCAGGAGCACTCCAGGCGGCAGGCGGCCCCGTAGCGCCCAGCGGGGCAGGCTGGGGAGAGAGCCCGGGGTCAGCCTCCTGCAGGAGAACCGGGCACGAAGGCGGCCCCTCGGGCACTAGCCTGACTCAGGGGCCCTAGGAGCCTCGCTCAGCCCCATGGCAGCCAAGGGACACCCAAGCCACCATTCCCCACCACCACCACTGAGGCAGGGTCCCCTTCCCGTGCAGATGCCGACCCTCCAGGCTGGCCCAGACACTCACCCAGCTCGCAGAGTGTCCCCATCCAGCCCAGGCCGCAGGAGCAGCTGCCGTTGGCAGGGTGGCACAAACCCCCATTTCTGCAGGAGCACACGTGCTCACAGCCCAAGCCAAACCGGTTCTGGGGACAGCCTGGGGGCAGAAGGTGGGTGCCGCTCAGAGGGCTAGACACGCTCCAGGGACACATCCCATCAGGTCTGACATTCATTCAACAAATGATTCCTGGGGCATCTTGGGGCCAGTCTCTGTCCCCCAGACAGACATGTGCCAGCGAACGACACCAACTGCATCCTGCCCAAACATCCATCCCATGTCAGCAAATGCCAGGTGAAGACATGGTCTGGCTGCAGCTGGGACCCACAGGGTTTCTGATCCTTCGCTGTCAAGGGCTGAGAACTGAGGGGAATGTCACCAGCCCTTTGATGAGACGACAGAGGTGACCAGAGGGTGGCGGAGGGCTCAGACCTACCAGGGGGTGGGGGCCAGGCTAAGAGGTTTGGGGCATGGCTGTGGGGACAGGGCTCGCAATCAGGAGCACGAGCCCCACAACTGTCCCCTGGGGCCACCCCACGCCCCCACCATGCGCTGTGCTCCAAGCCTCTCTCTACCTGGGGGGCGCACCCTGGGTCCAGCGGAAAGAGCCAGAAGGACCGAGGGGACACGAGTCAGGAGGCTGGCTCGGTTCTGAGACAAAGCACCTACCTGACTCCTCCTGCCATAAGGGCTCTGGGTCGGGGCTCAGAGTGGGAACCTGCTAGCCCCAACCAGCCATGTGGGGGAACCAGTGGAGGCCGTTGCTGTGAACGCGCTACCCAGGGCCCAGTTCTCCCTGTGACCCGCCTTGTGTCCCCATCATGCCCTGCCTGAGGTTGATGGAGTGACATCTACGAGGTGCGAGGACAGCCAGCGGGGTGGGCACTCACTGTGCTCGCAGTGGATGCCGGTCCTCCCTGCAGGGCAAGTGCAGGTGCCAGTCACGGGGTTGCAGGCCGCCCCCTGCCCACACTTGCACACGTGGGCACAGCTGGGGCCAAAGCGGCCCTGGGGACAAGCTGCAGGGAAGAAGACGGAGGGTGGCAGCCCCTGTCTGGGTCCCATTCTCTCTCTGCGTGTCAACCCGAAGACTACAGGATGAGGCAGAGGGGGGACCCCTGTGTCTGGCCCAGACAGGGTGGAGGCTGCCTGCTCCCAAGTCCCCTGCCCACCCTGCCGTCTCCCTTCCACCTGCAGGCTCTGCTGGGGGCCGGGCTTGCTCCACAACTGCAACAGTGACTCACTGCGGCCTCCACCCCACCCCGCCAGCCCAGCCAGGATCCTAGACAGGCAGGAAGTCCCCACATGACTTAGGGAAAGGCCCTCTTCTGGGCAGGATACCTGGCTGGCCTGCAGGGTGGTGCGCAAGCCCCTGGTGGGCACAACCAGTGAGGGGGGCATAGCACACAGCCGGGCAGAGTTGGCCAGCAGGGACACTGAGGTCACATCAACACCCCCCAGCTTGTGTGGGCTGAAGCTCAGGCCCCAGGTTGGGGTCAGGCCCAATGGGAGGGCTAGGGAGGTGGGTGGTCAGGGGGCTGTCATCTCCAGGCTGGCTGGTGGGCCCTGCCCACTGAGGTGCCGGGAGGAGCCACCCCTGCCTTCACCCCGGCCACTCACCGAGGCTGCAGTCAGGCCCGAGGAACCCAGCAGGGCAGCGGCAGGCACCCGTGGCCGCATCACAGGAGCCACCATTGACACACCCACACAGCTGCTCACAGCCCGGCCCAAACCGCCCAGGAGGGCACCCTGCAAGGGGAGGGGCCAGCTGCCAGGAGCTGGGGGGCTGGGCTTACCCCCCATGCACAGCCCGACATCCCCCTCCCATGACCTCAGGTGAGGGTCTTCCCAGGATAGCCCGGCAGGTGGCATGGGCAGCACTCACGTAGCCCGCAGCCAGTGCCGTGGAAGCCAGCAGCCCACACGCAGGCCCCTGAGGCCGGGTGGCAGGCTTGGTTCTTGCCGGGACACTGGCACTTCTGCCCACAGCTCTCCCCAAAGGTGCCGGGCGGGCAGGCTGGGGTGCAGGTAGGGGATCAGTGCTGGCCCGGCCCAGGAATGGCATCCTCCTGGAGTCGCCCCCGAGGCCCCCTCTTAGGGGAGGAGGTTTTAAGGCACAGCTCAGGGGTTCAGGCTGAGCCACCCCTTGCCCCAGGGTCCACCCAGTTCGGTCACCTACCCTGCTCACAGCCAGGCCCAGTGAAGCCTGGGGGACAGCGACACTCCCCAGAGATGTGGTGGCAGGCGGCTCCAGGCGGGCAGTGGCAGCGCTGGGCACAGGCCTCTCCAAACCAGCCCTGTGGGCAGGCTGCAGGAAGGTGTGGGCTAGGGTGGCAGGAGCACTGGGGCCAGCACAGGCCCAGAGGGGTCACTGTGTAAAGGACCCACCCCCTCCCAGGCAGGTGGTTCCCTGGGTGCCAGTGGAGCTGGGGAGCTCACCATTCTCACACTGTGAGCCCCTCCATCCCGGCGGGCAGAGGCAGGACCCCGTGACGTGGTGGCAGGTAGCTCCCTGCCGGCAGGCACAGCGCTCCTTACAGCCAGTCCCAAACGTGCCCTCGGCACAGGCTGTGGGATGAGACAGGCTGAGCCCGCTCTAGACGGTTGGGCCAGACCAAACGCACGCCAGACCCTCAGGCCAGCTTCCTGGGCTCAGACCCCCCCGCAGAGGACCCCTGGCAGCTCAGAGAGCAGCCCCACCCCTTGTCTATCAACTGACCATGGCGGTGAGGCCCCTGCATCCTGGACTGAGGCTCAAGCCACCCCCTGACGGGCCCAGTAGGGCCGCCTGGCCTCCCCACACTGGCCTCTAGCCTGCCCACTCACAACTCTGGCACTTGTCCCCCGTCCAGCCGGCTGGGCAGATGCAGTGGCCCAGGCACCGGTCACAGAGGCCACCATTGACGCATCTGCAGCTGTGCTGGCAGTCGGCTCCGAAGTGCCCTGGGAGGCACTCTGCAGGGGCGGGCATGGGTGAGGGCCCCACCTCCTGGGGCAGGGCTGGCCCTCTGGGACCCAGGAGACCCCTGCCCGACATGTGCTTCCTGCACCTAGAGCCCCTAATCCCGAGTCCCTGGGAAGGAGAGGTGCCTGGGGTCTTCTCACGCTCCAGGCCTGTGGCTACACCACAGGACAGTGTCCCCCCCACACACACCGGGAAGTGGTCTTCGGCCACAGAGGGAGGAGGCTACACTGGGGCACATTGGGGTGCTGGCCCTGGCTCCTACAGACCCCAAGGTCCCTCCTCCCTCCTCCGCCTTCCCAGGGCTCACCCTTCTCACAGGCCAGGCCAGCCCAGCCCTCTGGGCAGGTGCAGTGGCCCGAGACAGGGTCACAGGTGCCCCCGTTCTGGCAGAGGCAGGAATGCTGGCAGTCCTCACCATACAGGCCTGCTGGGCAGGCTGGGGGACAGAGAGGGGAGCAACTTGCAGCAACCCGCCAACTAGACCCACGGGGACCAAAACCCTCCCTCCCCCCAGGAAAGCCAGCCATGGGGACTTGCGGGCTTTCCAGCCCACCCCAAAGCCAAGGTGAGACTTCGGGGGTGAGGACCTCACCCAGGGCTGCCTCTAAGATGACCTGGACCCAAACCACCTGGACCCACCAACCCAGCCTTGGGGGCTCAGTGCCGAAGTGTATGGTCCTGGGTCCAAAGTGCCCTGGGTGTTGGGTCCAGTGTCCCCTGTGCATAGCCCCACTGAGCTTATGTCCACTCAGCATCCCATGCCCATGTGACCCCGCACGGCCCAGCAAGCGGCAAGCACAGTCCCTGGCCCCAGACTCCTGGGTGGGGCTTACCCTGCAGGCAGGTGGGGCCCGACCAGCCAGGGCCACAGCGGCACTGCCCCTGGACAGGGTCGCAGGAGGCCCCGTTAAAGCAGGAGCAGACTTGGCTGCAGTTGTGCCCATAGGTGTGGGCTGGGCAGGCTGCAGGGGAGAGGGGCGCTCAGGGGCCTAGGGGGTGCACCTGGGGAGGGGCTGCAGCAGAGCTGGGCAGCTGGACAGACGCCCCTGGGCTGCTGAGGTCCATCTGCCCTCCCTCTGGCCTGGACACACTCAGGGTGACTACAGACAGGGACCAACACACTGGCCTTTGTGGGCAAAGCAGCATCCCTGGGGTAGCCACCTGGCAGCTCTGGACACCCAGGAGAGGACCCAAGGAGTGAGTCTGGCACAGTGGGCCGGGGCCCCTCCCTCAGCACCCAGAGCTGACAGGGGCCTCACGCACTCTGGGCACAGCGGGGGCCCCGGCGGCCGGCGGGGCAGAGGCAGGAGCCGCTCACGGCGTCACAGGGGGCTGCAGCGGTGCAATTGCAGGCACTGCGGCAGTCCACGCCGAAGAAGCCAGCGGGGCAGGCTGCAGGCAAGAGATGTGATGGGGACATGACCAGGGGTGACGGGACCCCATCTGCACTCTGGGCCACCCCAGCCTGGCCCCGGCCCACATTCTGGCTCACCACGCTCACAGAAGGTTCCCCTCCAGCCGGCCGGGCAGGTGCAGGCCCCACTGACATGGTCACAGGCTGCCCCGTGCTCACACTGGCACCGCTGGCCACAGCCTGGCCCGAAGTAGCCCTGGGGACACTCTGAGACATGCAGCCCCGGCCCACCATCAGTCGAGGGACAGTGAGTATGACCCAGTCCTGCCCGGGCCCCCGCCATCCCAGCCGAGGCCTGGGACCGTGGGGCAGAGGCTCGTTCACAGACCGCTCCCTACCCAAGGGGGGCTGGGCTTGCTCACATGCCCTGCTCCCCTCCCTGCCCAACTAGGAACCAAGCCCCAGGGCAGGTGGGGGCCCAGGTGGGACTTTTGGGGCTGCCTCTAGGATGACCTGTCCCAAGCCCACCCTGGACCCACCAGCCCAGCCGTGGGGGGATCACACACGGAAGGGCACGGCCCTCGGTCCTCAGCAGCCTCCGCCCTCCCCTCCTCTAGGTGCCAGGTGCCCTGGGGAGTGCAGCTAGCCCCACCTCTCCCTGCCCAGTGCTCCAGGTGGGCCTTACGTCGGCCCAGGTATGTAGGAGGGAGGGGCCTGGGCCCAGGCTGGGGAGGGAGAGAGCGGTGAGCTCAGGCGAGGAGACCCTCTGCTTGTCTGGGGGACAGGAGGGCAAGCCTAGGTCCCCCAGTGCTTGCATATGTGTGTGTGTGCATGTGCATGCACCTGTGTGTACCTGTGTGTGTGCACCTGTGTGTGCGTGCACCTGTGTGTATGCACCTGTGTGTGTGTGTGCACGCACCTCTGTGTGTGTGTGCACCTGTGTGTGTGCGTGCACCTGTGTGTGCGTGAACCTGTGTGTATGCACCTGTGTGTGTGTGTGCACGCACCTCTGTGTGTGTGCACCTGCGTATGTGTGCACCTGGGTGTGTACACGCGCATGTGTGGGTGCGCACGTGTGCACACACGGCACATGGCTGTGGGCCAGGCCAGGACTCACGCTGCTCGCACTGTGGGCCCAGGTAGCCGGCCTCACACAGACACAGGCCGCTGGCAGCATCACAGCTCCCGTGGCCTGTGCTACAGTTGCAGGTGTGGCTGCAGTCAGGTCCCCAGTGCCCACTGTCACAAGCTGCAACAGAGCCCGGGTCACCCTATGCAGGCCCAGCAGAGCCCAGGGGCACCACAGCCAGGCCGGAGGCATGGAGCCTCCTGCCGGCCCCCAGTGTCCCGGGTCCGGGGTGGAGACTTCTCTAGGGTGGGAGGGATGCTTGGACAAAGGGCCGCTTACCTCTCTGGCAGCTGAGGCCGGTCCACCCAGGGGCACAACTACAATGTCCAGTCGCCGGGTGGCAGTGCCCATCATTGGCACAGGAGCACCTCATCTGGCAGCCGGGCCCAAACCAGCCAGCGGGGCAGGCTGCAGGTGGAGGGCGGGTGAGTGCAGTCAGGCCAGGCACTGCCCGCGGGCCCGGGGAGCGCAGGCGGGGGCGGAGGTGGGGCGGCACGCACTCACCGTCCTGGCAGCGGCTGCCCATGTAGCCGGGGCGGCACAGACAGGCTCCAGTCTCAGGCTCACAGGTGGCCCCGTGCTCACACGCCGGGCAGATCTCCTGGCAGCCGAGCCCCCAGCGGCCCTCAGGACAATCTAGACCCCACAGCCAGTCAGTCTCCCTGTGTGGCATGGCCCTGACCCCGCGTGCCATGGCCCAGGAGCGGGAACCACTCTTCCCATCTGAGCTAGCCCAGGGGAGGGACAGGGGCAGGCCATCAGAAGCCCCAGCCCCTCCTCAGGCTGCAGGGCGCCCACCTCGGGAAGAGCTCCTGTCCTAGGACGGCTCAACAGGCAGAATGGGGCTCCATCCGAGGGGCTGGGACACCCCACGCAGTCAACAGGAAGCCCAGGAGGGCAAAGCACAGGCCCTGGGAGTGCAGGGGGCTCTGCCAGCTGACCTGTCCCCATGGCTAACAGGGTCCCAGGGGGCCACTGTGTGAGCACGGCCACTCAGGGTAGCTGCAGACCACCCTTCCAGACCCAAGGGTGGTTCAGTATGGGCTCTTGGAGCTTCTGTGGAGGGGCCTGGGGTCTGCAGGGCTCCAGGCCAGGGGCCAGGGCTTCCCAAACACGGCCTAGGGCTGGGGTCCCCAAACATAGCCCATGGCTGGAGTCCCATCCCACAGGGAGGTGAGGGGGGCACCTCAGGACACAGCTGCCACTCACCTGCCCCACAGTCGTCCCCGGTCCTCCCAGGAGGGCACAGGCACTGCCCCGTGACCCGGTCGCAGGAGGCTCCCCAACAGGAGCAGGAACCCGAGCAGTTCACGCCAAATGTCCCCCCCGGGCACTCTGCAGGAGGGAGCATGCAGCGCCTCAGCCACCCCCATGTGGAGCTGCTCTCCTCCCCTCAGGGTCCTTGGCACCTGCCCCTTGCCCCAGCAGGGTTGCTGGACACAGCCGGGTCCCTGGGTGACCAGGGCAGCCACAGGAATGGGCAGGGGACAGGGGATCCAGGGCAGGGTGGCTGGCCTGTGCTTGGTCGGCAGCCAGTGCTTGGGCTGACCATGCATGAGGGAGCAGTGGTGAGGGGTGGCCTGGATGGGCAGGACCTAGGGGCAAGCTGGGCCAGGGGCAGTCAGAGGGCAAGGGCGTGGCTGAAGCAGAATTCTGGGCATCGAGCAGCCGGGAGCAGGTGGCAGGACAGGCTCTGCCCTCCTTCCTCCTACCCTGGTCAGCCTGGGGAACCCTCTGCTGGTCACCTTAGTGTCCTCTCCACTGCCGAGGAGTGACAGCATCCTGGGAACAGTCCCAGGGCAGGGCCTCATGAAAGAATGTAGGTGCCATGGAGCCTCACCGCCACCACGAGAAGGCCCGCAGTGGCTGCTCCGTGGCCTTGCAGAGCCCCGGGTGCTGGAAGCCCCTGAGCCCGTCCACACTCCCCAGCCTGCCCTGGCTGGACAGAAAGGCCCGGGGGTGGAGAAGACCCCTGCCTGCTCCAGCGCCATTCGGCCCACCCCGAAGCTGCTGGAAGGAAAGCTCTCCCAGGCCCCCGAAGGTGTGCACGGCACCCATAGGGGCAGGCTGCAGGCCCATGCACCACGCCTGAAGACGCAGAGCCCACTGACCACAACACTCGGGGTGCTGGGAGCTGAGGATGCGTCCTGCCTAGGGGGGGAGCATCAGCCAGATGGGGCGGGGCCCCAGACCTGGGGCCTTCCAGAGCCCAGAGAGGGGCACAGGGACAGAGGACACACCCGGGGAACTCTTGTCATGAGGGCCCAGACCCCAGAGGGCCCCGCCCACACCCCAGCCCAGGGCACAGGCACATCGAGAGGACTGCAGGCGCAGCACACAGGAACACACTAGATCATTGTGTGCAACTCAAGTGCACGCCCTATGCACTCACGTGCAGCACATGCACGTGCACTAGGTGCAAATATGGCCCCCATGTAACACGGCCCAGGGAAGGGAGGCTCTGCGGCACAGGGTGAAGCTGTCCCGCCTGGCCTCAGGGAGCCCCCTCTTCACTAATTGGGGGCAGACGCCCGTTTGGGGCGGTAACACTTTCCAGAACCAACGACAGCGGGGAGCCCACCATTTCTATACCCATGTGCCATCTCCTGTGGTTCCTCCTTAGGGCTCCGGAGGCTTTTAAAGAAACAAGGAAAAGAATGAATGAGAAAATCAGCAGGGAAGGGTTGGGGGTCTCAGCAAACAGGCTGCGTGGGGCAGGCAGGATGCGGCTCTTCTGGGGAGAGGCCCCCTTGGGCGTGCAGGCAGCAGGGGAGGGTGAGCAGCACGTGAGTGTGTGTGTGTGTGTGTGAGTGTGAGTGTGTGTGCACTCACATGTGCGCGTGGGTGTGGGTGGTGTGGGGGGAGGTAGGGAGAGAAGAGAGTCAGGAGGAGTCAAGAGAAGACCCAGCCCTGTCGTGTGGGTGTTACTCATTACGGAAAACATGCCCCCACGGAGCACCGCAGGGCAGGTGGGGCTGGGGGGTCGGGCCAGGCTGGGTTCCAAGCCCTACACACACCCCTCCTGCACCAATGGGGCCTGAGAGCCCTCAACAGGAGCACTCCTGGGGTCTTTGGGACCACTATGCGGGAGGGACCTGGCGTGGGTGCAGAAGGAGACTCTGACCCTTTGGCTTGGGCTGGGTGTGGCCCCACGCCAGTCACACCCCAGACCCCAACAGCTCCCACTGCTCTGGCTGATAAACGTGGACAATGTGTGCACCGCAAACCAAGGGAGATCCCAACCTGCCCATGCCCTATTAGCGGGGGCCACAGCAGCCCTGTCACTCATGGTGAGGGCCTGTCCCCTCCATCTGCCCACGACATTCAAATGTGGGGCCCCCAGCCTCCAGCCCTGCCCACCGTTCTATGCCCACTCATACTGCCCCCAGGCCTCGGCATCCACGTGGACAGCCTTCCATCACCACCCATGCCCAGTGCTGGCACCGCGAGCCCAGACTTCACTCTGAGCCACCACCGCCAGAGGCAGCTGGCTTTGTCCAGCTCACTCAGGCCATCCAGAAGGGGCTCTGGCACCCCAACGTCAGCTCAGTATGCTCCCATGGAATGAATGAGTGAGTGAGCGAGTGAATGACTTCGGAGAGGCATCGACCCCTTCTCTGGGCCAGGCCCTGGGCACACACACCAGCTCCCACCCGAGCAGCCCTCGCAGGCACACAGGCACAGACAGCGGCTGCGTCACTGCTGGTCCAGGACAGTGACGCGGCAGTTAAAGGTGCCCCCCAGGCCAGGCTGCAGGGCTGACTTGGCCTCCAGCTTGCAGCTTCCGGTGCCCAGTGCCCGTCATGAACCCCACGACCTGCACCCTACCCAGATCCTGGACACAGAGGCCATCACTCACCTTGGTCACAGTCCTTCCCGCGGTAGCCAGCCGGACACTGCTTCCCACACTCACCGCTGACGGGGTCACAGGCTGCGCCCAGAGGGCAGGCGCACGTCTGCCGGCACCCCAGCCCAAAGGAGCCCGGCTCGCACTCTGCAGGGGGCGAGGAGAGAATGGCCTGCAGGGTTCAGCCGGCCCCGGGGCCCTCCCCCCCGCACCCCTGCACTCACCATCCTCGCACCGCTCGCCCCTGAAGCCGGCCTTGCAGGAGCAGCTGCCGTCCCTCCTGTCACAGGCACGCGTGTTCCGCTGCTCACACCGGCACTCCTCCGAGCAGCCCGGCCCGAAAGCCCACGGCGGGCAGGCTGCACCCACAGAACCGTGAGGGGGCCTGCGCCCTGCATGCCAGCCCTCCCCAGTCCCAGGGCCTTCTGCCCCCACCTCCTGAGCTGCATCCCCGGGACCAGCACGGAGCCGGCACTGTCTGCCCAGCCACTGGTGCCCAGGAGACTGGGACACTGTGCCCCCCCTTACAGACGAGAAACAGGGTCTCAGTGAAGTGAAGGAACTTGCCCTGGGTCCCACCACTTCCCAGCGGGGAAACCCTCAGGATCCGGGTTTCTCTGCTCAAAATAATCCTTTTATGAGGTACTGCAGAGAGCTGCTGGGCTGGAGTCCGCTCCTCGTCATTCACCTTTTCTCCACCAGCCCACCGCCCCTGGCCTCCCGGCCTGTCCGTGGACTCCAGGGAGGGTTGACCCCACTGGGACTCAAGACTCACCCTTGCTGCCAGGAAATTCCAAAGCCAAGATAAGCCCTACACCCCAGAAGCTTCCGGGGGAGGTCTGCCCCTGCCTCTGCCTGCAGCCCACCCATTGGCCCATTTGGGGCTGGGAAGCCCCAGGAGGCTGGGAACTGTCCACCCAGACACCCTAGAGCCAGAGCAGCCCAGAGGATGTGGCTTTGAGTCCAGAGACCCGGGGTGGACCCCACATCCTAGCCAGGGAACTCACTGAGCCCCGTGTCCTTGTGTGCAAATGGTGAAGAGTCAACACATGCTGGACCGCGTGCAGGAAGGCACAAGGTGAGCGCTCGGCCATACTACAGGCCGTCCCTTCCACCTCCCCGGACACAGGCAGCCAGCAGGCAGCAGGACTCACTCAGGTGGCAGAAGCGGCCGTAGAGCCCTGGGTCGCAGAGGCATGCCCCGTAGAGACGGTGGCACCGGCCCCGGTTGGCGCAGTGGCACTTCTTGCGGCAGTGCTTGCCATAGAAGCCCTTGGGGCAGCCTGCGGGAAGGCAGGGCCTCTTGAGCGCCCCCAGGACACGGCCCCCATGCCCTAGGAGATGCTCCAAGGGGCCCCAGTGCCCAGCACATGAGCCAGGGGTGGTCTGGGCCTCCAGGGCACAGCGGGAGGACTTTGGGGCCACCAGTAGCCTGAGGACCCTGCATCCCAGACAGGGAAGGGCCCAGGGGGTGGGCGTGGCATCAGGAGGGCAGGGCAGGCACAAGATGAGCCCCATGGACACAGCCGTCCACCCTGGCTGGGCTGTTCCACCCAGGGTCTGTGGCCTGGAAGGTGGCCAGGGCAGGAGGCCAAGCATGTCCTCAGCACACACGTGAGAGATGCACAAAGACCTCGTCCAGATAGCCTGAGTCTGACCCACACCTACAGCATCCTGACTCCTGTCCCTTGGTGTCCATCTAGCCCAACCTCCAGATCTCAAAGGAGGAAGGACACACAGCCTCAACTGGCCAGGGTCCCAGGCCCAACTCAGGCACCCAGGGCTGGGAAGGCCTTCTGGCTTTCCTTCTAGAAACGTCTCCCTCTGGTGCAGTCCTGCCCCAGTCCTGCCTACTGAAGGGCTGCAGGGGGCTGGATGGTGACCCCAAGGTATGTGCATGTCTCAAGGGTCTGGTGGGACCATCCTGGATTATCCAAGATGGCCTAAATCCCACAGGTGTCCTTGGAAGAGAAAGGAGAGGGAGGCTGGAGACAGGAAGAGACGGAGGCCATGGGAAGATGGAGGTAGAGACTGGAGGGTTGTGGCCACCAGCCCAGGATACCCGGAGTCTCAGAAACTAATACAGGGGCCCGAGGAGCCCTTCCACCCCTGAAATCTGGCCTGCCACGCCTCTCTTGGGACTAACCTCCTCAAGCTCACCTGCACAGGTACCTCGTACCCACGGGACCCCAACTGAGACCCAGGTCTCAGGCAGCCACGCCACCTCACAAGCAGAAGCACTACAATGTGGGCCTTTATCCACCAGGAGTCCCTTGGGTCTGTTCAGGGCCCGTCACACACACAAAGCTTCTAACAGGCAGCGGGTTCTCAGCCCTCAGCAGACCAGGAAGGGCAGGGATGCTGACCGAGCCGAGAAGGCTGGCCAGAGCGAGGACTGGACCTGGGACTTCAAACCCTGCCCTGCAGGGCTCACACGGGCCATCCAGAGGCAGTGGGGACACGTTTCATGGACTGCTACCATCTACCAGCCAAGGCGGTAAGTTCTTGATAAGTTAGCTACATTCTCCAGGAAAAGAGGCAGAATTTTAAAGTTCTAAAGACTTAAACATGAGGCATTAGTCACCTGAGAAACTTATGCATGTGGACTTTCTAATTCCTCCAGAGATGCTGAAACTTCAGAGTTAGAAAGGACACTGGTGTCATCCCATGCAGCCACGGGCCGAGGTGCATCCCTTCTGCAAATCTCACTCAGACAACATATAGCTCTACTTGAATTCTTTCAGGAATGGGGAGCTCACTACCTCACAGAGGAAACCATTCCGAAAGTACTATTTTTCTGTCAAGTCTTCACCACGGCTATAGTTTTGCTGTTAGTGCCATGGAGTCAATTCTGACTCTCAGCACCCCATGGAGAGCAGAGCAGAACCCCGCTCCATCTTTCTGTGCCATCCTCTCACCCTCGGTGCCCAGCACACAATGCTCTTTTATGCACCTTTGGCGCTATATCAGACAATGTTCTGCTTCTATTCACAGGGCTTTCCCGGCCAGTTGTTGGGGGAGTGGCCAGGTCCTTCTTCCTAGCCTGTTTTAGCCTGGAAGCTCCGCTGAAGCCTGTCCACTGTGGGGCCCCTGCTGGTATTTGGAGCCTCAGTGGCAGAGCTTTCAGCATCACATGCAGCTACCACAGCGTGACAACCCACAGACGGAGGGTGTAGTTCCCTGACGGGGAAACGAGCTCGAACTCGGGCCACAGGGTGAGAGTCCCGAGTCCTAACCACTAGACCACCAGGCTTTAACGAGGCCCCAGGAGAATTAGCAAACAACGAACACTCCACGCCTCTCTGCTAAAGGGCCTCACCTGTGGTGCCCTCCCCTCCCACGGAAGGAAGGCACCAGGAGAAGCGGAGAGGGGAGCAGAGAGCTTGTGCCTCCAGCCTCCCCTCCACCCCAGGGACAATCCCCGGGGGACAGGAGGGACTGCACCCACCGTCCTCACAGTGGGCTCCGCTGACACCCGGAGGGCAGCGGCAGGCCCCCGTCATGGGGTCGCAGGTCCCGCCATTCTGACAGTTGCAGGAGAAGCTGCAGTTCTTGCCAAAGGTGTCTGGAGGGCATGCTGCAGGGGGTGACAGGGAAGCACAAGGGTCACCAGCCCGCAAAAGGACTCTGGGCCCAGAAGCCCCTCCAGAGACACCGAGACACCTGGGGTGTGAGCCTCCCGTGTCAGAAGCAACTGCCCAGAGCCACACCGGTGACTCGTGCCTGTGCCCCCACTACGCACAGGGCAGACATCACTAATCAACCACCACATCCTCCCTCTGAGCTGCGACACAGCCACCTTCTCAACCAGCACTTTCAACAGGCAGAGAGGTCACTGCGGCCCTAGGGACCAAACCGCCAGTACAGCCCTGGTCGGGGGTCATTGGGAGGGGAGCAGAACAGGCTCCAGACAGAGGCTGGGAGAGCACTTTCCAAATGCTCTCCAGCTACCAGTGTCGTGGAGTCCGGGGAAGTAGCTGCCCCATCTGGAACACAGGCACGACTGGCCACCCACCAGCCACTCTGCGCAACCCCCCATCATCTCAGTGAGCTGGAGGCTTGCTTATCACTGGACCAGCTGACGGTGACATCCGCGAGTGGAGACCCCCGCCTCGCTGGTTCCCGGGGCCTCCAGGTGCCTGGAACCGAGCCTGGCACAGGGCGGGCAGTCAGCAGACTCCGAATGGAGTGAATGAAGGCCTGAACGGAGGGCCCCGCATGGACGCCCTGCCCAGGGCTAGCAGAGGAGAGAAAACAAATGGGCTCCCGCGCGTCTGGCTCATGGCCCCTCACCCCCACCCACAGCAGCCTCACTCTCATTGCAGACGAGCCCCGTCCAGCCCTCAGGGCAGTCGCAGCCTGGCAGGCCTGGGAGGCAGGTCCCTCCATTCCTGCAGTCGTCGCAGGTCAAGCTGCAGTCTTGGCCAAAGGCGTCATCCAGGCAGACTGGGGGCAGACCAGGAGGGGCTCAGAGCTGGACCCCTGGCCTCCAACCCCACCAGGCTTCAGGCGCATCGAGGCTAGCTCAGGGCCTCAGGCCAGAGAAGGGGGCACAAGGGACGTCCTCAGCCCATGAAGGCCCCCAAGTGGGCGAGGTGGGGTGCAGGAGCTGGATGCCAGGGCCTGGGAGGGCCCTAGCCAGGAGCTTGGGGCCCCATCCAGCCCAGGCTCAGCCCTGGATGTGCTGTGCAAACTGAGCAAGCAGATTAACCTCTCTGAGCCTTGGTCAAACAAGGCCATCAAAGAGGTCCTTCTTCATGCCCAAGACTGCAGGGTGAGCAGCAGCCTGGCCCGAGGGGGCACTGGCTGTCTTCCTGGAGACCAGAAGCCACAGGGCTGGGCCCACTTCTCACCAAACTTCTCCGCCAGCGTGTGTTCACCCCGGGCCTCCGCCTCCTCCTCCTCAGCCCCCACGTAGTCGTCTTGGAAGCGATGGGGCAGCTCGTCCCGGAGCACCGCGATGTGTGGGAGGTGCCGCACGAGGGGCAGCTGGCTGTCCAGGTCCAGCTCAGGCATCTCCAGGGCTGGGCAGGGGCACAAAGGCCCCTGAACTCCTGCTGCCCACCTGCCTTCCCGGGACTGGAGTCCCCTGCCCCTGGCTACCCAGACGGAGCTCAGGGCCTGTGCCCCACCCCATGGGCCCCCAGCTATAGCCTCCACCACCTCTCCTCACCCTGGTTGCCAGAGGTCGTCCCAGCTGCACCCCTGACCCTAATTCTCAGGACGGAGAAGCCTCTGGGCCCTGAGGACCTGGCCCATGTCATGTCCTCCCCAGCTGTCCTGGCTCCTGCCCTGGCCGTAGGGATCCTGAGCATGGGGGGGTGGGGGTGGGGGGCACAGGCGCAGCTCTCTGCCCCTCTGGACACTGTCCTCAGTCCCAGGGACGATGTCCCTTCTCTCATCTGGGCAAAAGAGAAGCTGGACAACGGGGACCCCCGAGTAACACTCTGCCCTAGAGGATGCCCGTCCAGCCAGCCCCTTCCCCCCACCCTGCTGCCCCCAGCCTGACCCACTGAGGTGGGGTCCATATAGACGGGATGGTGGGTGCAGGGGCTCCAGGAACAGATGCCACGAAGGCAGGGGCATGGGGCACCGGGAGCCGGGGACCCCTGTGGGGACAGGGGGGGACTCACGGGTGCAGCCCCTGCGGTCCTCGTCCAGCCGGTAGCCAGCCTCACAGGAGCACTGGAAGGAGCCAGCCAGGTTGGTGCAGTGGTGCTCACAGCTGCCACGGCCAGAGGCACACTCGTCCACGTCTGCAGGCAAACGCGGGGCTGCTGTGGCCTATCCTTCACAGGTCGGGGACGCGGGAGGCTCCTCCCACCCCGGCTCTGGCCACCAGACTGAGGCCTGGTGGACATGCCTGCTGGGCGATGCCCACGCTGCAGCCATCCTCCCGTCCCCAGGGTCAGAGTGAGGGTGGACACCCTGCCCAAGGGAGGCCGGCCCAGCCCCGGGAAAGTGACCTGTGACCACAGGTAGGGGAGCAGGAGGGCAGGTCCACATGCCCTGCAGACAGCAGGTGCTCAAGCAATGCCCAGAGGTGAAGCAGAGCAGCACCTGAAGCAACCCCGTGTCCCTCCTTAGGGTGGCCCTCTCCCCTGGCCACCCCAGCTGCCCCCCAGCCGGCTGGCACTCACCCTCACACCCGCAGCCATCGGTGCTGAGCCGGTAGCCAGCATAGCAGCCACACTCATACCCGCCGGGGCTGTTGGTGCAAACCTGCTGGCAGCACGGCGAGTCGGCACAGTCGTCCACATCTGCGGGCACACACCCGAGCCCGGCTGGCACCCAGGCGCCCACCTGCACACACGCCCTGCCCACGCCCACCAGTACATGCACGCTTGCACACAGTCCCACACATGGCCACACACGTGTGCATGTGCACCCACGTACGCTTCTGGTCCTGTACACAGACACAGAGAGGACAAACGTCACGGCCCCAAGGCCACCCCCTGCTGTGGGGGCCAGACGGGGCTGGAGGGTGGTGTGGGGTCCATGTTGGGGGCAGGGTCTCCCCAAGAAGAGAGGACTCTCGCACACCACAGCATTTCGGGTGCTCCTCTAAGCACATGGGGATTTAACTAAGTGACTGAGCAGAGCTGGAGGAGGCGGTGCTGATGGACAATGGGGTGTGCCTGGCGGGGCCTCAGTGGGGGCTCTCGCCAGGCCCACCCTCGGACCACACCCCTGGCCCAGGGCAGAGAGAGCAAGACTGGGGGCTTCCATGTCATGGCGTCAAACCAATCCACAGACTCGGGGCAGCAGCGGGTCCCTGGTTCGGGGGGATGGGGCGGTCTGGAAGGACCCGGCTCGCACCGATACAAGTCTTCTGGTCCTCGCCCAGCTCGTAGCCGCGGGGACAGGTGCAGAGGGGCCCTGTGCTGCTGTGGCTGCAGCCGTGGGAGCAGCCGCCGTTGTCAGCCTCACAGCTGTTCACTATCTCCATCTCGATCCCTGTGATGAAACCCACCACCAGGATGTGGGACAGGGTCCTCCCCCACCCCAGCAGCCAGCCCGGGACCCCCAGGCCCACTCTGCTTGGAAACACAGAGCTCCTGAGCTAGGCAGGTTCTGGAACCTGTACCCTCCTGCGGGCCCCCCATGCTCCCCTGCCCTCCCTGGACCCTCTATCCTCCCCTGACCTCCCCAGACCCCATCATCTTCCTCTGACCTCCTGGGACCCACTTGCAGCTCCCAGGCTAGCACTGCCCTTGGCCAAAGCAAGCTGGCAGTCCGTGGGAGACCGGGGAGCAGTGCTGCCACCCCCAGGCACCTCCATGCCCCATGGTGCCAATGCCTGCCCAGTGTCCACTCACGGTAGCACTGCCGGCCATCGGCACCCAGCTCATAGCCTGCGTGGCACACGCACTTAAAGGACCCATGAGTGTTGAGGCAGCTGTGGGCACACTGGGCCAGCCCCATGGCACATTCATCCACGTCTGGATGGGAGAGATCAAGGGGAGAGCTGTGAACCACTAGCCTGGGAGATGCGGCCCCCAGGGGTGGTGCCTGGGTGTGGAGGGGTCCTCACCAGAGGGTCAGGGCTCGGGCCCCCTGTGCCAAGAGGGGGCCACCCAGTGCCCTCTCCCACCTTCCCGTTCCATGGCTCCATGACTGGGGCCGGCCCGCTGAGCTGTATTTTCATCCACAAGTTCGGGTGCAGAACCACACTCCCGCCCAGGCCGAGGAGGGCACAGCTGGAAGTCTGCTCTGGAGCCCCACCAGCTCGCACTCGGGCCCCGCCAGCAGCTTTGCCAACAGGCTCCTCCTCTCTGCGCCCACGGTCCCTCAGTGGCGCCCACCCTACTCTCACCAAGCCGTGTCCAGGGCCCGGCCTTTCACCACCTGCCTCTGGGGACAGGGGGAAGAAGCACATGGCCGCTGACATCCAGGTGCGTTCCCACAGCTGCATGGCGCTGGCTGTCAGGACCTGAACCCTGGTGTCCCCGACCAGTGCTTCGGTCACATCCCCTAAGATTCCCTGGGATGAAGAAGTTGACCCTCAGCCCATCTCCTGCTGAGCCCACCAAAGCCACCTGCACCCAGAGCGACAGGGGGCACCTTTCACTTTGGCAACGATTCCTAAAATGCTCCCTCCTGGTGTTGGTGACATGTGGGACCACTGGGCTTCTGCAGCCCGCAGGCGCCATCTCTCTGACTGCTGCCTGCCCTGGACACACCCCCATCTCCTTAGAGACTCGCCCAAGGGTGACAGCGATGCGCGCAGACCCCTCCCTGAGGCTGCTCATCCCAAGCTGTGTGTAACAGGAGTCGGGCACCAGAGAGTCCTGGGAGGGGTAACTAACAAACATGCACAGTCGCCCAGCAGACACCTTGCGGCCAAGGACACAGAAGCACGTTCTAGAAAGTGGCACCCAATTGGGATCTGGGTGATTCTAATCTGCGTATTCACAAACAACCCGAAAAAATAACTGGAAGCCAACATGGGGATGTCATCCGGGCTCAGGGTGATGCTTCCTCAGCTCTTCTGTTCCCCTAACGAGCAGGTACTACTTAGATAATACAAGAAATATTCAAAAAGCAAAAAGGCCACCTGAGCTCTCCTGCTTGCTCCGGCTGAAATGAGGCTCAGGCTGGAAGCAGCTCACCGGGGGAGTCCCTGCCCCTCCTCCCCAGCTCCCTGCTGCCCAGCTGGGCCCCTGGCCCCCAGTAGAGGAGATGAGCCGGGGCATCACCCCAGGTCAGCTCTCTCACACAAGCCGGTGCAGCAGGACCCGGTCCCTCCACAGCTGACCCTGGGGGTGGGGAGGGGGGGGCCGGAGCATGGGGAGGGGCGTCTTACCTTCACAGGCCTTGCGGTCAGCTGCCAGCCGGTAGCCCGCGTGGCACTCACAGTGAGCGAGGCCCCGGAGAGCTTGGCATGTGTGCATGCAGCCGCCATTCCGGTCCGTGCACGGGTTTCTCCCTAAGGTCACAGATCCAGAGGAAGGGAGGCAAAGGGGAGAGGTCAGGGTGGGAGGCAGGGGACTCTGTGGACTCAGAGTGCCTGTCCCAGGGCCCCTCATGAGGCCCCCACCTGGCACTCTCGCCCCTCCTGCTCCTGTGGGTCACCCTCCTCCCAGGTGTGGGAGCCCCTGAGATCCCCCAAGAGGACTCAGAGAAGACAGCAGGGCGCCGGCCAGCTCCTCCTGCACCTGTTCTCCCAGTTGGAGCCGAGGTGCCCAGCTGGCCCCCAGGTCCATCACCCCTTGCCACTCTGCCCCCACTGCTGGCCTCAAGCCCACACTCACTCCTGGCCCGGGACCCAGGAGGCTAGGCGGGGGGACTCTCTCAGAACCTGCCCCACCCTGACCCCCCATTTCCATATCTCAGGGGGCCTCTGAGCCTGCTCCACCTCCTCCATCAGCAAAGCCCCCTCCTTCTGTGACAGGCAGCCCCGAGACGCCAGGGTAATTTGAGAAATGGGGCCTGGCCTGCCTCCTCTGCCCAAGGGCCAGGGCCTGGGTCCCACACGCCTGTACCAGCCCAGGGTGGGCCTTGGACCTGAGGGACCTGTCGGATGCCCTTCCTGTCTCTCCCATACCTGAGCTTCTTGCCCCCACAGATGTGCAACACCAGAGCACAGCCAAGGGGGCTCCCTCCCAACCCGCGCTGGGGGCTGGATGATGCCCCACCACCTCTCAGCAGCCCAGGGGCCCCACTGCCCCTGGGCCCCCCTGCCAGCCCCAGAAGCCAAGTGAGGAGGCACGTCCTGCATGTGCCCCGGCTCCAGCTGCAGGGTCCCTTGAAAGACCTATGGGTCCGGAGAGGATGGGGCCCCAGGGCTGGCGGCATACTCACGGACACAGCGCCTGCCATCCTCCTGGAGCTGGAATGTGGGCCGGCACTGGCAGCGGTGCTGGGTCACCGTTAGCTGGACACAGTCGTGCTGGCAGCCGCCATTGCCCACAGCGCAGGAGTTGATGACTGAGGACACGGAGAAGAGCCCAGGTCAGCCCAGGAGGACGGGCAGGCCCAGAGCAGGGGATGACCCGGGACCACCTCCTACAGGAAGGCTCCAGGATCCTCCAGGCCACACTGGGCCCTTCCTCCTTTCCATCTCTGCCCTGGAAGCAGGGCTTTGAGAGGGCGACACTGTTGCTATTGGTCCACGGGCCTGGCTTTGCTTCCCGGCCCACACTCAGTGTAGCAGGACCATGGTCCGTCTCTGGATCCTCCGGCCCCAGCCTGCCCGAGGACAGGCATAGAGAGGCCTCGCAGAGCAGACTGCCCACCGCAATGGAAGCCCAACGCCACCCAGTACAGAATGCAGGACATCAGGGCCCCACTGAGAGCCAGGGCATCCAGGGCTCACAGGCCAAGCAGGCTAGCAGGCTCGAGGAGGTGGCAGGCCAGCAGGGGGTGGTGGAGGCCCAGACATTGCCCTATGTTGGTCATCAGGCCAGGGTGGAGGGGTGGCATGGTGCTGCCATGGACGGCCATCGTGGCCCAGAGGCCTGGCCCCCAGCTCCCAGTGGACCAGTGTAGTTCTGCCAACCCGGGCCCTGCCCCCTACTTGAACTCACACAGTCCCCACTCCTCCTGGTGGCCATGGGGAACAGTACTCAGTGAGACCTCAGAGCCAGGAACCAGCATCTCAGTCCCAGGAGGCAGGGTCCAGGCCTTCCCGCTCAGGCCCCTACAGGATCAGGCCTTGTGGGTCAGGCTGGTCAAGTGGGTGCCCGTGTACCAGGTGGATGGGCTGGGGCCATGCCCGGGGAGGACGCGCTGGGTGAGGGTGGGCACCCCGGGTGGGTACTGGGCCTCCTGCAGCTCTGTGAGTCTGGTTGGGGCCTCGAGGTTAGGGAGGTAGTCGGCCCCTCCTCCGAAGCGAAGTGGCAAGAATGTGCCGTGTCTGTGCCCCGGGAGGCACGGCCTACCGCCCAGGCCTGGACCTGGGGCAAACCTGAGTCCCGTTACTCAAACACTGCAGCCACCGCGGGACCAGGCTTCACCCCGAGATGCCACCCGTGTTGTCATCACAGACCCTGGGGGACCGCCGGCCTTGGCCCAACCTGCGGAGGCCGTTCACTGTCATTTTGTGTAGCAGCCAGGACCAGCACGCCTGGACCCTCAGGGAGCAGGAGCTCGGAGGCCAGCAGAGCTGGGAGCAGCCACAGCGTCCACACACAGGGGACGTGAATGGCCTCAGGGCTCTGGGGAGGCCTCGGCCACGCTGTCTGCCAGAAGCAAAGCTTCCTTCAAAGCAAGTTTGTTTGAAGAAAGCCAAACACAACACTCAGGTCACTGCCGCATTTCCCCACGTGCAGCATGCGGGTGGGGAGCTGTGCTTAGGGTCCCCTCCTGGGGCCAAGCTAGCCCTGCAGGGGTGGGAGGATGCCCAGAGGTGGCTGTGACAGCTCTGTCTCCTGGCTCCACCCAGCCCTGCCACGTAGGGGGAGAAGCAGCAGAGACTCGAGGCCTGGGCTAAACTGAGGCAAGCAGGGCAGCCACCAACTCACGTCCCCGTCAGACTCTGAGCCCACTCTCCACCCACCTACACCAGGCCCCGACTCTGCACTGACCTCCAAGGTCCCGCCTGCCTCACCTGAGACAGCTCTGCTAAGCCACCACATCGCTCAGAGGCTCAGAGCACAACCTGACCTGGCCCCACTCCTGCAGCTCTGTTTGTGTTCCTGACACCCTCATCCCTGCTCAGGACTCCTAATAGGAACCAGAAGCCCTTCCTGGCACAGCCAGCCAGGCACAGAGAGAGGGGCTTGGAGCCCGGGCAGGCAGGCCGGCTGGACAGGCACCGTGGCCACAAGAAGGACTTGGGGAGCTGTGCAGTGCTGAAAAGGAGCCGTTCCAGATGGGCAGACCCCAGATGGGCCCCGGGACGATCCAGCACCAGGCCCACCGGGAGAGAAACCACAGACAGGTGGGCGCAGGTGGAGGGGGTATGGGCCCCCCATGCAGCCTTGCACCCTCCCAAGTCCGTCTCTCATCGCTCTGCACAAATTCTACCATTCCAGATGCTTCCAAGCTGTGCACAGCAGGCGCCAAGCCCAGCGTCATCGTGCACGTCCCGTGCCACGGATTCCCGGAAAGCTGAACGAGATAGATTTTCTTAAGCGCTGAGCTGTGTGGCTGAGGGGAGGGCCAGCCTCTGTGTGCCCAGTGCCCAGAGCTGGTGGTGAAGTTTCCAGGCCCCCAGGTCACTATGAGATCAGGCCATGAGACCCATGTCCCAGTGACCCCTTCCCTGGCAGTCATGCAAGTCAGGACCACGCTCAGACCTGAAGCAAAGCTGAGAGCACCCATTGAAAATGGGAGATTAGGGCTTTCACAGCCCCTAATGGCTTGAACGCTTGTGTCCCTCTAAAATTCAGCCCCCAACGTGTCTGCATTTGGGGGGGGGGGCTTTTATGGAGGTAATGAGGTTAAACAAGGTCATAAGGGTGGGGCCCTGATCCAACAGGACTTGTGTCCTTGTAGGAAAAGACACAAGATCTCTCGCTCCCCTCTCTCTTTCTCCCTCTGCCATATGAGGACACACAGAGAAGGCGCCAGGAAAAAAGCTCTCAGGGGGAACCAAATTGGCTGGCACCACAGTCTGGAACTTCCAGTCTCTAGAACTGTGAGGAAATAAATGTCTGTTGTTTAAGCTAGCCAGCCTGTGGCATTTGTTACAGCCTCCTGAGCTGGCTAAGACACCCTCACTCCCCAGTTTGCAAATCCCAGGACACGGGGCCTCAGCCAGGGGACTCGCGGGGTCTAACAGAGCTGGGCTGCAACTCCGCCTCCTCCCAGGAGCCTCAGGGGCAAGGCGTCCAGCACACCCAAGGGAACGGGGCCTTACCTGAGCGGACACTGGACCTTAGAAACAAACGTCCTACAGGGTGCAGGGCCTGCTTGTGCCAGTTTGTCCCCCATCGCAGAGGAGCAGGTGGCAGCACCTGAGACCCGGGCACAGATTCGGGGCAGCAGGTGCACCTGAGTGCCATGGAGGAAGTGGCAGGTGCCAGCTGTGGACAGCCGACCTTGAGGGCAGCTCTGCTGCAAGGCCCGGCATCCCAGCCCAGCACGCCTGCCAGCCCGAGCCGGTCATCCAAGGGGCTGTGCTGGTGCCAGGCCAGCCAGCAGGAGGGCAAGCCTGTCAGCCAGGGGCCAAGCCCACCAGCCCACTCTGCTCCAGCCGCCAAACCCAACCAGGCGGTTTTGGGGCTGGCTTCACGAGGTTTTGCAATCACTGCCCTCAGTTTCACTGGCTTGCCCTCAAATCACTGGCTTGGTTTCTAGGTCCCAAGAGCTTCACACCATGTGTGGTCAGCGGCCACCCACTGCCTTTCCTTCTAGGAAGCCATCTGTTGGGGACAGGGCCAGGATGGCAGGTCAGGAAGAGGGTGGCCCGCCCGGCTCAGCCAGGAGGGGAAACTCACCTGGGCTCTGCCCACCCCCCGGGTCCCCAGGCAGCTCATGGGTCACCTACTGCTCTGTCTTATGCCTCCTGCCCCATCCCCCACCCCGGGACGGGGCTTCCGTGTTCCATGAGAGGCAAGATCAACTTGCAGCCATGTAAGCAGCCACCCTGGCCCAAGAGCCAGGGGCTGGCACTGGCGCCAACATCACAGACTACACACCACCAACCGGCCCCCGCTCCTCAGTCCCAGCCCGAGAAAGCACCAAAGATAGGCCTTCAGCACAGCACAAGCGGGCACCCAGGACCAGGCTGTGCTGGCCGTCCTGCCCAGCACCTGCCCACCTTGGGATGAGGCACTCAGAGGTGTGAACCCCAGGCTCTGCAGCAGCCCCTTGGCGCCCATCCCCATCCTTCACTCCTCCCCTGTCACCCAACCCCACACACGCCTCGGCTGGAATCCAGCTCCACCCTCCTTTCACACCCGACTCTAATCCCATGGCCCGCCTCCACGCACGGCCCCAGTTAGCCCTCGCTTCCTCGTTGGGTTTCTGTGCCCAGCCCACAGTCTGCGGCCACCCCTGGCTATCCTGGCGGGGGGGAGGTGGGGGGCCATGCCACCACGCCCTGGGTGCTGGCAGGCTGCATTTTTGGGGTCCTGGTTTCAGGAAAAGCCCCCACTTCCCAGGGCAGACTCGCGGGACGGGGCCGCCCTCCCCTCTCCCCGTCCTGCTGCCTGTTTCCATTCGAAGGGGATCGGGAAACAGTCAAGGAGCTGCATCTGCAGTCTTGCACACAAGTCTTGCCGTCTCCATCTCTCTGCGGCCTGTGGTTTTGGTACCCGCCCCATGCGCTGCCAGCAGCAGCCTCTAGGGGACCAAGTGGCCTCCCCAGGGTCTCCTCTCCAAGGAGTGGAGGGAATAGCGGGCTTGAGGCCCCTGTGCAGCCCCCACGGGGAGACCCAGGCCTGAGGGGAGTGTCTGTCCTGAGGCCACACATCACACCATGGCAGAGCCCTAAGGGAAGGAGTGGCTGGGGAGACCCTCCTCATGCTGTGGACACAGTCAGGCCCATCTGACTCCAGGGACAGAGGACACGGGAGAGGCAGCCAGGCCACCAGGGGCATGCATGCTGACAGCAGAGTCCTCCCCACCGCATCTGTCCAAAAGGCCCGACAGGCCTAAGGCGAGGGGAGGAGGATGGAGAGCCCCACTCTTCCAAGAGGCCAGTGCAGGGCATTGGCCTGGAAGGACCCCATGCTGCTTGACCCAGTGACATCCCGGTTCCTCAGACTGGCCCCGGGTGTGTTGCTCACCCTGGGGAACATGGGCAAGCAGCCATGTCCAAGGGCAGGGTCCAAAAGGGACTACTGGGCAGGTGCCACTGGCTCAGAGTGCCCAGTCACCCAGAGGAGGAGGGCTCCCCAGCGCCATGTTGCAGACCCAGGAGCTGGTCTCCTCTGCAGGTTCACACACTGGTGCTCTGCAAGGTGCTGAAGAAAAGCAAGAATGACGTTCCTAGACATGTCACCAGCCACTGCTCTGCAGGCCCCACTTTCCACAAGTAGGGGACAGACGGAGTCGGCTCTGTGCCCCTAGGGTGAGAAGCAGGGTGCACCAGCCCTGGGCCACCCCAGAGCCTGGGGGACACACCTAGGAGGGCCCTAGGGCACCCCAGGATGCCTGGCTGCTTCTGCCTCTCCTGGGGCCAGGCTGGCCAGGGGGCGGCCAGGGTGGGACACTCGGTGCTCAGGGGCCTTGGGGCCAATGGCAAAATCCTTCTTGCATATTCTCACTTTTAATAATTGAAACCTTTCCTGTTTTATTTCTCTAATTTCTTTTGCAAGGGAGGGATGAAAGAAGGCTGTGTTTTTCCTGTCCTCTCCCTGCCTCAGAAGCTAATTTGATGACTGCTTCAAGGCCTCCTTTGTGTGTTTTAAAGCACCCCCTCAAGCCTGCCTCCTTTGAGGACTTTCCAGATCCCTTAGGGCCCCATGATGTGGCACCACCCTGAAAGGTCCAGCACACAGGGCAATCCCGCCCTGTACCCTGGAAGGCTGTCACATCCCTGCGGGCACTTTCTCCACACCCAACCTCCAGCATGTTTATCATCCTCACACCAGGCGGCCAGGGGCAAGGAGGTGCCTGGGCCTGCTCCCTGCCTGCCTGCAAAGCTCCAGGAGAGCTCAAGCACCCCTCCCACAAGGGGACCCCAGCAGGCCCCAGGGAGGGTCCAGAGTGGCTGTGCCCCAGCTGTGAAGCCAGCCCCCCTGGCCTGTGTGGGCGAGGGGAAGGTACAGAGCGCATGGCTCCCAGACTGATTCTTCCTATAACGTCTGCTGAGGCCCAGGGCAGTCTGGACTCAGAAGGTGCCACTGTGACCCTGGACAATGCACTGGCTCCTCCCACACCCTGCACACTGGGAGTCCCAGAGAAGCAGGGAAGGCCCCACACCTCCCAGTGGCGGGAAGTTCAGCCCCACCCCCTCAGAGCCCCAGGAGAGTCCAGCAGCCTGTAGGGGCCGGGCAGTACCCTCCACCAGCCCTGAGTTGGAAGTCTGTCTTCCAGGATCTGAGATGCCCGGCCACCCTGACCCACCCCAGGCCAGCACGTCAGGTCCACTGTGGGCTGGGCAGGGCCAGGGGCAAGGCTGAGGGGCATCCCTCCCAGGCTTCCCGAAGCCAGCAGCTCAAGGCCACTACCAGTCCCTCCAAAACTCTGAAGGGCCCCCTCCCCTTCACATGCTGTTCACCCATCCCCACCCAGCCCTCCTCCTTTCTGGCCTCTCAGTGAAGGCCACCAGCAGCACAGATGGGCGAGACTAGGGAGATGGGGAGGGGGCGTCCCAGGCCCCTCCCAGGGGCGTCGACAGCAAGAAGGGAGCACTGGGCACTCACAAGTCCCCACCTGGCCCCCCAGACCGGCCCCAAGGGACACCCTTCTCCAAAGAGAACCTGCCCCAGAGGAGAGGTGTGGGAAGGACACCTGGGACGCCTGGGGGACCAGAGAACCCCAAGGCCATAGTCCATGGCTATGGGCTCCAGAAGCTCCTCTCCCGCCCCAGGAGGCAGCAGCTGGGGGCTACACCCGTGTCGTATTTGTCTGAAGCACATCACAACATTCCTGCATCTGTTTCCACTTTCCGACCCAGAGAAACTTCACAGGCCAGTTGCTTCCTCCCGAGCGGCGGCCGGGACATGTGCGAGTGTGTGCAGGGAGGGCCCCCCAGGGCTGGCAGGCCGCCCTGCCACATGGCAGCAAGGCATGCAGGAAGAAGGCGCTCAGAGCCCGCCCGGCCGCTCTGGATCCCCAGGGCAGAAAGAGAACCACTTCTACACAGCCTCCCAGACACAGTGGCCATCAGGGAGGGGTCAGTCTTGTGCCTCAGGCACCTGTGTCCAGAGCCAGCCAGGAGAGGGGCAAGGGAGGGTGAGGCGTGGACACTGACTGCCCAACACCAAAGCCCTGGCCTCTAGCCCCTCCACCCACGGCTTCAGTGGCCACCTGGTGCTCTCCCCTTCTCTCCCCATAACTCTCCCCAGCTGGCAGGGGCAGGAGTCTGTGGCCACAGCGCCTCCACTGAGCCCATTTCTCACAGCAAAAAGACCCTGCAGAGGAACCAAGTGTTGGCGTCCCACTTCTCAGTTACCCCTTCTCTGTTATCCCCGCCTGCCACAACCCAATCCCCTAGTCCCTCGAAGCTGGGGTGGGGGGATTTGGGTCCAGGAAGCCCAGCTCTGCAGGCCAAGGGTGGTCTCACACTGCCCCTGCCCCAAGCCAGGCCTTCTGGCCAGCATCCCCCACCACCCAGTGAGCAACTGAGACTCCCCTGAGGTTGGGGACAGCACAACCAGGCCCGGGTCCCTGCTGACCCACCACCGCGGCTTTTGCTGCAGAGGACCCTCAATAGGATGGCGGCCCAGGGGCTCCTCCTCAAGTCATGAGAGGCCCCCCTCCCCCGCCGGGGAGATGGTCTCAGCACCCCAGCAGGATTCAGGTGTGGCTGCAGAGGGTGCTCAAGGTCACAGGGGCCCAGAATCACAGGGGCCAGCTCCGGCATGGCTCAGGACACCTTCTTTCACCTGCCTGAGCCTCCCCCGTCAGAGTGGAGCTGGCAAGGCCCAAGGCAGGCCAGCCATCGGGCTCCGTGCACACCACACTCAGCAGGATGGAGCTGCGACAACAGCAGCTGTCGCTGAGCCGGTAGGCTGCAGCAGGCCTCTCAGCCCAGGAGTGCAGGGACCAGGCCGAGGTCGGAGGAGGGGCGGCCACTCCCGAGGCTGCAGGGGCACTTACCCAGGCAGGTCCTGCCGTCTGCGTGGAGCCGGAAGCCAGGCCTGCACTCACAGAGGTAGGAGCCTGGCGTGTTCACACACCTGTGCTGGCAGCCACCGTTGTGTACTTGGCACTCATCCACATCTAGGCAGGGACACAGGGCCGAGGGTTAACAGCCAGTACCCTGTGTTAACACCACCTACTCTGTGGTGGCCCCAAGACCCCAGCTCAGCCCCCTCACTGAGGACATTGCCCTCAGCCCAGATGCCAGGGCCCAGACCCAAGACCCTCCTTCTCAGACCAGGCCTGCAACACTCCCAGAGCCCCTCACCCACGCCTGCAGAAGCAGAGTGGAGAGAAGGCAGGGCCCATCCCCGACGCCTGGCCGGCCTGCTCAGGAGGAAGAGCCACCACCTCCGGGGCAACCAGAATGTGGGGAGCAGCCGGGGGTGAGTTGAAATGTGGGGAGCAGCTGGGGGTTAGTTGAAATGTGGGGAGCAGCCGGGGGTCAGTGGAAATGTGGGGAGCTGCCGGGGGTCAGCCAGAACACAGGGAACAGTGGTTCAGCCAGTGCAGTGGCTGCGGGGGGAGCAGACTCAGGTCAGGGGACGCCTGCTTCCTAGTGCCTTTCCAGCCTGAGCGTGGAGCACACACTCATCGTAAGGCCAAATCCAGAAATGCTCTCAGGGCAATGCAGCCCCTCCTCTGCGGCCCATGAGGCCAAAAGGAGAAACTGCTACCTCATGAGACACCCCTGCACAGGCTTCAGAGGAAGAGCCTAAGAGAGGGCAGGCCAGGGGGTACGTCCTGGGCTGAACACTGTCCCCCCAAAATTTATGTCCATCCAGAGTCTCAGAATGTGACCTTATCCGGAAAGAGGGTCTTTGCAGATGTCACTAGTTAAGGATCCAGATGAGACCATCCTGGATAAGCAGGGCCCTAAATCCAGTGCCTGGGGTCCTGGTCAAAGACACGCAAGGAGGCAGAGGCTGGAGGGAGGCGGCCATGAGCCAAGGAGCACTGGCAGCCACCAGAGGCTGGAAGGACCAGACAAGGAAGGGTCCTCCCCAGGAGGGTTCAGCAGCAGTGTGGCCCTGCCGACACATCGATCTCCGATTTCCCGCCTCCAGAACTGGGAGAGAACAAATGTCTATTGTGGTATTGGTTTCAGTAGCCCCAGGAAACCAGTGCAGGGGGTGTCAGCCTGGGGTCCCCCCATGGGCTCCCTGTGCCAGGGAGACAGGAGGCCAGCACAGCAGACCTCACAAGCACAGGACCTCGCGGACGGCCTAGGCACTCCGCTTCCAGGAGGACACTCCACACCCGAGACCACGGGATGACCCGCACCTGCGCAGGACACGTGCTCCTCCCCCTGGCACCACGGCTCAGGCCACAGGAAAGTGACTGAAGGCCAGGGAGCTGCCCCAGGAGCTGAGCTGGGAGGTGCAGGGGCTGGAAAAACCTCCCCAGGGCTGGAGGCCCAGGGGGCTGACCCTCAGGAGGGTCAGCTCCTGCTGCAGGGACGCAGAGGTATCAAGAAGGTTCCGGCTGCCTCGTCCCTCATCCCTCCCTCCAGGCCCACTTCCACCAACCTGGGCAGTGACTGAGGTGGACAAAACAGACCGGGAGGAAGGCAGGAGGCAGAGGCTGCCTCAGACATCTGTGTGCAAGGATAACGCCAGGAGGGACCTGACTGCCCAAGAGACACAGAGACAGAGTGGCCCTAGAGCACCAGGCACGGGCACGTGTTCCTCAGGCCAGGCCACACCTTCAGACACCGGTCTCGCCAACCCGGTGGCCAGCTTCCCAGACCAGAGAAGAGGGGAGACAGATGGACAGATGCTCTTCGCTCATGAATGTCTACCAGCAGAGAGCCTGGGGTATTCGGGCACCCTGGCCTGGACAACAGGCCCTAACCGATGACCGCGCCTCACAGGGGAGGGCTGTGTTCGGCTCAAAGGGACAGTAGAAGATTCCACTCCACATGGCTCCCCTGGGAGAAAACATGATTTCGAGGGGCAAGTCCTCGGCTGTGTGGGAAACGCAGCTATTGGGGGACGACACAGGGGCCGCACAGAGCTGATGTTTCTAATTCGGCTCAGCAATCCGGCAGGTCCACGCCATCCACCATGACTCCACTCTGCAGTTCCCACCACTGTCCCCATGAAAACGCCCCCCTCCAAGTCTCCTGTCCTAAAACTCCAGCCCTGAGCACACTTTTGAAGGGTGACAAGGCGGCACCAGGTGAGGCTCCTCCTGGCTGTCCCCCGAGCCTGCCCGCCAGGCACTGCCTCCCACACATAGAGATCTTGCCACCAGTCCACACTCTGAGAATGCGCCTGGTGTTCCAGAAATGACACCAAACTAACCCCAGGAGGCCAGGGTCTCTGTCTGGACCTCCAGGGCCATCTGATCCTTGCAGAAGCCACGTCCACTCTGGGGAGACCGCTGGGTCCCTCCCAAGCCCCGAGGCTGCCTCAGAGAAGAGGGACAGACAAGGCCAAGAGCATCTCCTCACTTGCACCAGGGGCACCTGTGGGCTGCCTCAGAACGAAGCCAGGATGGTAATCGGGGAGAAGCTTGAAGGCAAAGGGTTAACAACCCCCAACAGAGCCCCGAGAAGGCAGGGGGCAGAGCGCACCAGGGTGCAGGGGGGAGGGCTCAGGGCTCAGGGCCTTCCTATGGGAGATCAGCTGGGGGCGGGGGGCAGACCCACACCAGCTGGGAAGGGCAGGGCAGGGCAGGCGGGCAGCACCCACCTAAGGGGGCTCAGAGAAGAGACCCCTGGCTCTGAGATCCCCCTAAGGGTCCCTGATAGGTCAAGATGTGACGCATGGAGCACAGCCCCGGCATAGGGAGCTGCTTCGTAAGGCCTTGGGGGAAGAGGTGGCACATGGGTGCTGTCTGAGGAGGAGGGCAGACCCACCAGGCCTCAGTGAGTCTAGAGTGGCCTTGCCTGGCTGGCAGACAAAGCAGGGAGAGGGGGACAGAGGGGCTGTCGTTCCAGCTCACCGATGTGCCTCCAACAGGGCCCCAGAGGCAGGCACTAAGCCAGCAGCCCAAGGGGACACTGGCTTCCGGAAACCAGCTCTCAGCTGGCGACTCAGCGTTTGCCCAGGGCTCTCTCCAGACACTCGGCTCAAGGAGGCGCTGACTCAGGGGCACTGGACTCCGGAGGGCAGGATGCTCCTGAGCCCCTAGGACACCTGGCTGGGGGGCCGCATCCTCGAGCAGGACCCAGGTGAACCTGAGCATGATGTCCAGGACGTGGGGGAGCCCAGGAGAGCGTCTGCCCCTCGGGCCAGCCCCGCAGCCCTGAGGGCCACAAGGACACCAAACAGTCTGGGAAGAAGCAGGAATGGGACGCCGGAGCAGGGCACGGCCATTGGTCAGCAGGACCCTCCCACTGGACTGGCCCTGACAGCCAGCTCCCGCCCCTGGCACCACCACACACGTGACCTGCGCTCTCACCACCCTCTTGCCCAGTGATGGGAACACTTACACTCAGCCGCCCACCTTGGACCTGGCCTCTCTCAGAAGTCCCGATCCCACCTAAAACAGGCCCTCTCAGGAGGGGCCGGCATGCTGACCCCAGCCCCAAGCCCTTCCCACCCGTAGCTGCACTGCCTGGCGGTCAGGAGGCAGCGAGACTGGGTCCCTGACCAGCGGCACAGGCAGGGGGCGGGCAATGAGGCTCAGCCACAGATTCCAGCGCCTGCTGTTGGTTGTTAGCAGGTCTGGATATGGGAACACATGGGGGCGGTTCAAGGCTGAAGGATCTGAGGCCTCCGCCTTCGCCTCTCTGGGCAGCGGAAGGCTGCTTGGAGGCGGGACATGTGGCCAGACGACCTCCTGCCGGGGTCCCCTCCAGCTCTGAGACTTAAGGCCCCTTTATTAGAAATGACTTACACTCAAAACAAGGCAAGATCGAGTTACCTAAACCTTGCCGGCCGGCTCCCAAGGCAGGCCACGTGGTGGCAGAACAGAGCTGTTCTCAGCCGGCTTCAACCCCCCCGCAGCTGCTGGCCCTGTGACCCAGGCCCTGGTAGCGGCCATGACCTGAGTAGCCACAGGCTCACTGGTCTTTAAAGAGAGTGTGGTCATCTGAATAATGGCCCCTCAAAGAGGTCCACATCCTACTCCCTGGAAGCTTACGCAGCAAAAGGGACTTTCCACGTAGGATTAAGGACCTTGAGAAGGGAGATTATCCTGGAGAAACAGGTGGGCCCAGTGTCATCACTGGGCCTTATCAGAGGGAAGCAGGAAGCTCAGAGAAAAAGAGATTTGAAGGTGCGGTGCTGCTGGCTTTGAAGATGGAGGAAAGGACCACAAGCCAAGGATGCTGGCCGCCTCAAAGCTGGAAAAGCAAGAAGTGGGCTCTCCCTCCAGAGCCTCCAGAAGGAACCAGCCCTGCCCACACCTGGCTCTTGGCCCATTTCAGCCTTCTGACCTCCAGAACTGTAAGGCGCTGTTGTAAGCCACTAAGGTTGGGGTCTTTGTTACAGCAGCCACAGGGACTGAACACAGAGCACATCACTGTTGTCTCTGACGTCCTTTCCAGAGTCACGGGTCACAGAAGCTCAGAAACCCAGGTTCCCAAACGCTCACTCTGGCCAGACTGGCCTCCTGACTCCCACAGTGAGGTCAGCTGTGCCCTTTGGGGGGCTGGCTGCACTCCCTGAGTCCGTCAGGCAGGCCTGTCCTCATGCTGCACTGCCAATAGGCAGTGATCCCTGTGGGAGGACCAGCGCCCTGAGACACCCTGAATGGTGGGTCCCCAACTGAGCATCGGCCGCTAGACTCTGAAACTACAGCAGAAAACATCGCTCTCCCAGACACCACAGAGAGGGCCTGGGCCCCACGGTGGTGTGGGCACCCCCAGGCTGAAAGGGAGCCGGGAGGCCACCTGCCCCTTTCAGGGTCAGCACTCAGCCCAGGGCAAACCCACCCAGCCCTCTCCGGCCCAAGGTCCAGCCTCCACAGCTCTGGTGCAGTGCCCCCCTGCACAGGGAGGAACCGTCAGAAAGCCCTGTGGCCCAGAACCCTGTGGGCTGCACCTATTTTAATGACCAGCCCGGTCAGGGTTCTGCAGGGAGGTCCCCATGGTCCTGTGGCTGCCATCAGCTGAGACGCGTGACGAGGAC